CCGAGAAGGCCCTCTGCCTGGTTCCCTGTAACTTCGCTTCTCGCAGTGAGGGAACCGCCAGAAGGCCCTCGGAGCTGGAGCTCAGTGTTCAGGCAGAACGATGGAGGTGGAGACGCTCCTTCAGGTATACTGGACCGAGGCTGTTTAGGGCTTTAAAGGTCAGCACCAACACTTTGAATTGTGCTTGGAAATGTACTGGGAAATTGGTTAGTCTTCAAGGTGCCACAAGACTCTTCCTTGGTTTTTGAGCCTAACTGTGATCTTCAGATGAAGGGTGGTATAAATAAGTAATAATAATAATAATAATAATAACAACAACAACAACAACAACTCGTCTCTAAACAACTTTTGTTGTTATTTTCACAGTATAGCTGGGAGATAAGCTAACTGCACATAGTACCAAGCATAAAATTCAAGTGTGGATTTGAACCGAATGGGTAAGTTGTGGGCACTTCTTATCATTGTGGAACAATACCTAAAGGCTCCTTTAGCTTTCTTTTCTTTTATGTAACATTGTTAACGGCTGGGAAAAGACTTAAGTAAGAAACACATCAGTTTCTGAGAACTAGCTGGTCAGTTGATAGGCCAGATCAACAAAAGATACGAACGTTTTTATGGGTGTTGCTGCATGTGAGCTGTCTTCTCAATTCCTTTGAGCTGTCTTCTGAAGAGAGTCAGTTACGATGCAAAATTACAGGAGCTTTGCCCAGTAACGGTGATTTCTCAACTGCCTTGCATCACTGGTTGTGATAGTGGAGTATTGCATTCGCAGAATGTCCGTTTTGCAGAGATGCTTCTGCAACGAAAGCTGCAACCAGGGGGTGGAGTCTTCACTTCAGTGTTTATGTTAAGTGATGACTCACCCCTGGGAGTCTGGGTCTCTCTCAGAAGCTGCCACTATATTGAACAAGCAACTTGGCTTATCTGAATCTCTTTCTGGGTTCAGAGAAAGAATAGTTCTTGGACTATATTAACAAGTAAGGAACTTAACAAAAAAAAACTGGACTGCAGCGCTAGCTATTTAAGAGCAATGTGTTGATTTGTACTTACAACTTTTTTTGGTAACAAGTTTAAAGACAGTTTGCAGTAGAACTTTGAACTTTCTGGGTGTGGAGAGCTTATTGATTTCATACTTTGCACAAGGTCCAGATCAGGAAATTCCCCTCACATAACTAACAATAGGGAAACATTTCAAGTTCTCTTGGTGGAAGGTATCTGTCAAATGTGAAACCAACAATAGTTAAGAAAGTAGAGATGGGCCTTATTACTTTGCTATGCTTTGTTATGCTTTGTTATAGCACAATTTTCAGACTTACGGTACTGTTAAGTTGTTCTAATAGCCCAGGGGTGGGCAACCTTGGGGGGCAAGGGGTCCACACGTATTTGGTGGGCAGGAACAGAGGCAGAAGTGGGCAAGCAAGAAATGTAAATTTTACTTTTTTACAATATGTTAGTTTCTACACACACACACACACTCGCCTCGCCCCCCACATCCTCTACCCAGGGAAGCAAGAAGTGTTATCGGAGTTCAAGAACACATTTTACTCAGGCAAGAAGACTCCAGGAGGGTGCAAGCAGTGGCAGACTTGGGTGCTATGGCATCCTGTACAAGGTCAAAATTTTATGCCCCCCTCGCCAGGCTTAGAGAAGGAGATTCAAGGGCACTAGCAGGGTCCTAGAGCTCACATCTCCTTCCCAAAGGGCAAAAGATACACATTTTGTGTATGTGTTAAGTCTGGTGATTGTGCTTATATTACAGCCTTGATTCCCCACTGAGCCCCAAGCATAATAAGGGGCAGATCCTGCACAGACATCAAAATATAGGTATTCAAAATTATATTTGTTTTTTGAGATCAGGAAGCTGCCTTCTCTATCCCAGGTTACCGGAAAACATGTTGATTTCTAAATCATGGCATTAGCTCTCTAACTTCAAAGTGCGATGAATGCCAATAAACCAGTCCAAAGGCTGCTATTCAAATACTGGAACCATATAAAACACAAACTGCCCCCCCCCAAAGTGATTAAGTGCAATTCCCTTGTGGAAAGGCTACTAAATTCAATTAGCATAGCTTCAGAATGCTATTAATTAGCTTGTATCTACTCAATGCTTTGAAAAGGCAGAGCATTACATAACAAATGTGAAGTATTATAACTCATTTTCCCACTCACAATTTTTCCCGCACCACATGTTCTGACGGAATGCCAAGAATAATTTTTTTTATATTTACAACTTCTTTTTGTTGTTGCTTCCGTTTGGCAGGGGACCTGCAAAGGAAATGCGTAATGAAAATTATACTCTTCATCTTTGGGCACCCAGAGAAGAAAGATAAGTACTCCAGAGTCCTGCTGCAGTTCTTAACAAACAGGAAACCTCACCAGGAATTTCTTTGTCAGGTGTAACGGGAACCAGAGGGAGTCAGCTGCAACCTCACAACTTCTTTGCAATGTGACACCATATGCACATGGGTAATCACTCCCATTCCAAAAATTCACCCTGGAATGACTTCACCGCACCAGATGTTAATCTGAATGCGCCTATTGATAATGATTACAAATCACATCTGCACTCTGCTCTTTGTCCAAGAAGCTCAGGGCATCATAAAGGTAAAGGGACCCCTGACCATTACGTCCAGTCGTGGCCGACTCTGGGGTTGCGGTGCTCATCTCGCTTTATTGGCCAAGGGAGCCAGCATACAGCTTCCGGGTCATGTGGCCAGCATGACTAAGCCGCTTCTGGCAAACCAGAGCAGCGCACGGAAACGCCATTTACCTTCCTGCCAGAGCGGTACCTATTTATCTACTTGCACTTTGACGTACATTCGAACTGCTAGGTGGGCAGGAGCAGGGACCGAGCAACGGGAGCTCACCCCGTCGTGGGGATTCGAACTGCCGACCTTCTGATTGGCAATTCCTAGGCTCTGTGGTTTAACCCACAGTGCCACCCACGTCCCTACAGCGCCACCCATGTCCCTACAGTGCCACCCACATCCCTCAGGGCATCATAGGTGAGGTTATTTATTTTATCCTTCCAACGAACAGGTGGGAGTATGTTAGGCTGGTGCACAACTGCTTTCCCAGAGCTGCTCAGTGATATTCAGATCCGAATCCAGACATGAAGACATTATATTTGTAGAGCATTCTGATTTGGAAACAACCCCTTGTGGCATTGAGTTCCAATGTCTCTTTTTGGGCGCTTTCCAGCTCTAAAAACAAATAAATGCATAAAATGGTTCCGTTAATTTACACCACAAGCCAGCATGAGGCTGGAGGCTTTGATATTGGTAAGAAACCACACCACTGTCTCCAAAACAGATTTGCATTCTGCCCTTTTCTAAATTAATCATAGGACTTAGAAATAGCTAAGTGTACCTGCCACTGCAGTACCAATTCAGAGTTTGTTGTTAAGTTTTTGGATGGGGTTAGATTTTATTCAGTAAGGCCCAAAAGCTTTAACTGTTAAGAAACAAATACCCTGTTATTTTGTCTGCACTTGTGGCTTTTTATTTATTTCTTCTATTGATGTTGTTGATTTAAATTTCTATACTGCCCTTCATCCGAAGATCACAGAGCAGTTTACAATACAAAAACACAAAAATACATACCATAATAATAATAATAATAATAATTTATTATTTATACCCCGCCCATCTGGCTGGGTTTCCCCAGCCACTCTGGGCGGCTTCCAGAGACCAAAAATACACTAAAATGTCACACATTAAAAACTTCCCTGAACAGGGCTGCCTTCAGATGTCTTCTGAATGTCAGGTAGTTGTTTATCGCTTTGACATCTGATGGGAGGGCGTTCCACAGGGCAGGTGCCGCCACCGAGAAAGCCCTCTGCCTGGTTCCCTGTAGCTTTGCTTCTTGCCAGAAGGCCCTCGGTGCTGGACCTCAGCGTCCGGGCAGAACGATGGGGGTGGAGATGCTTCTTCAGGTATACTGGACTGAGGCCGTTTAGGGCTTTAAAGGTCAGCACCAATTGTGCTCGGAAACGTACTGGGAGCCAATGTAGGTCTTTCAAGACTGGTGTTATATGGTCTCGGCAGCCGCTCCCAGTCACCATAATAATGAAGAAAACAATACCCCCTCCTGCCCAGTTTAAAAGGCCATAGATTATTAAATTAGCCAAAGGGCTGGGAGAATGAGAATGTTTTTGCATGGCCCCTAAAGATATGCCATGAAGGTGCTAGACAAGCCTCCCTGGGAAGAGCATTCCACAAGCAGGGAGCCACCACAGAAAAGGCCCTTTCTCATGTTCCCACCTTCTGGACTTCTTTGTGGAGGAGGAGGCACACAAAGAAGGCCCCCAGATTATGGCTGCAGGGTCTGGTTCAGTTCATCTGGGGAGAGGCTGTCCTGGAGGTATCGTGGTCCTGAGCTGTTTAAGGCGTTATAGGTCAAAACCAGCATTTAAACTGAGCCTGGAAAATGCAGTTGGGGCAAAATCAGCGTAATATGTTCAAACTGTCATGCCATGGTGAGCAACCTGGCTGCTTTATTCAGCACCAGCTGAAGTTTCGGAACCGTCTCCAGAAGCAGTTCCATGTACAACGTGTTGCAGTAATCCAGCCTAGAGATTAATAGAGCACAGACCACAGAAGTTAGGCTATCCCTGCCCAGACAGGAGCGCAGCTGGGCCACCAGCCCAAGCTGATGGAAGACACTCCTTCTCCTTCTAGTTCCTACACGAGTAGCTCTAACCATGCAGCACAATAACAAAAAGAGGTGAGTCAAAAGAGGCATCCCGTCTTCTACTTTGGAAGCCGCGGGATTTGCGCCTTTGCCGCGCGCATTCCCAGCGCATGCCTTGGGTGTGATGCGCCCCAGTCACGCCGTGCGTAAAAATCGGCGAGGTGGCCCGAGGGGAGGATGAGGTGCTCCTTCCTGGCTTGGGGAACAAGTGGAAGGCAAAGGCTGGCTTCTCCCTCCCGCAGCTGGGCGTGAGGCGACTCTCCGCCCCCGAAGGTAGCAGCCCCAGCGGCTCCGGCTCCGCCTTGCCGAGAGGGCGGGCCGAGCGCCCGGTCCTTGGCCGCGGCGCTTTGCTGATCCCCGGCTCATAACAAGCCGGGCGCGCCGGCGGAGGGAGCAGAGCGCGGCTGCAGGAGAGCAGCGGAGACCCGGAGCGGAATAGGGCCGCCCGGGGGGGAGTGGTTGGCCGAGCGGTACAAGCCCTCCGGAGGAGGACGGCGCTTCCCTTCCGAGCGCCCCATTTCTCCTCCTTCTTCCTGGCTTGGCCAAAAAGCAACGCGGTGGGGAAATCAGCGGGCAGAGAGGAAGGAAAGGGAGCCGCACGTGAGGAGGGGACGCCGCGCAAGGAAAGGAAGCGCGCACGGCTTGCCGAGCCTCGGCTGCAGCCCGGCGCGATGCTCCGCTAAGCGCAGCTTTTTTCTTGGCAAAGGGACGCCGCGATTGCGCGCCCCCTCCGCGCTGCAGCCGCTGATCCGGGGCAGAAACCGGAGCAAGAAGCGCTTCCTCCCAAATTTGCAGCCGGCGCGTTGACCATCAGCTTTTGCGGCTGCCCTTCTCGGTTGCAGGCACGCGTGCCTGCGCCTGTGTGTATTTGGAATATTTTTAACTTTGCCCTGCGCTTGGAGTGCCGTCCAGCAGCTCGCGAATATCCCAGCCGCTTGCCAAGTTTGATTTTGGAGCCCGGTGTTTACAGCCCGCCTCCGCCCCTCCCTCCCTCCCAGGAGGAATATTTTGATGCCAGTTTCTTGAATGAGACGCTTAAGGTCCTCTGCCTCTGATGTTGCCTGCCTGCTAAGGAGGGAATCCTGGACGGTGCAGAGTGCCACGCTACTGCTGTGCAGGCCAGCTGTCTCCTTAAGAGCCACCAAGCGCCTCCAGAGCGACCGTGGATTATTGCACCGCTGCTAAAGCAAGCCAGCCAGCATGGGAGGCAACCTTGGCTGCCACCGCTCCATCCCCAGAGACCCCTCGGACCTGTGCCACAGCCGCAAATTTAGCGCGGCGTGCAACTTCAGCAACATCCTCGTGAACCAGGAGAGGCTGAATATCAACACGGCCACCGAGGAGGAGCTCATGACTCTGCCCGGGGTCACCAGGACGGTTGCGCAGAGCATTGTGGAATACCGGGAGTATATTGGGGGCTTCAAAAAGGTCGAGGACTTGGCCCTGGTGAGCGGGGTCGGAGCTGCCAAGCTGGAGCAGGTGAAGTTTGAGATCTGCGTGAGCAGCAAAGGGAGCTCGGCCCAGCACTCGCCCAGCTCCTTGCGCAAGGACCAGAACCTCGACCACCTTTCAGCTGCGAAGATCAATATCAACACGGCCACCCCTGCCCAGCTCATGAGCATCCGTGGCGTCACGGAAAAAATAGCCAACAGCATTGTCGAGTACCGCCGAGAGCACGGGCCCTTCAAGAACATTGAGGACATGGTCAAGATGGACTGCATCAACTCTTCGTTCTTGGACAAAATCCGGCACCAGATATTTGCCGAGCGCTCAAGGCCTCCTTCTACGAATACCAATGGCGGCCTCAACTTCATGGTCAAGCCTCACCCGAGCCCCACCTCGCTGAGCCTCCAGAGCGAGGACTTGGATTTCCCTCCTGGAGGACCCACGCAGATTATCTCTACGCGGCCCACCGTGGAGATGTTTGGTGGGGTGCGGGATGGGAAGCCTGTGCTGAGGCTGGCCACCTGGAATCTGCAGAGCTGCTCTGTTGAAAAAGCCAACAATCCCGGCGTGCGAGAGGTCGTGTGCATGACGCTGCTGGAGAACAGGTATGGGACCTCTTGTGCAGTACCTGCGGGGAGTTATCCTTCGCTTGTTTGTTTCATGCTTCCCTTGGCTTTGTGATGACTTCCTGGTTCAAGCCAGGAATGGGGGACCTTTTGGCCTTCCCGATGTTACCGGACTGCAGCTCCCATCAGTCCTGACAGTTAGCCATGCTGGCCAGGCCTGATGGGAGCTGGAGTCCAGCAATATCTGGAGAGCAGCAGGTTCCCCACCGCTGCTTTCAAACAAAATATGATGGGACAAACTGAACTCAACTGTTCCCTGTTTATCTGTAAGCCCATAGCTAATCCTGTCAACCTTTGCCTATAGGCCCAAAATAATGCCCCTTGGAGATATTCAGAGATGCTATGTATGCTCCATCCTGATGCCACAGCCTGCCATTTGAACCTTTCTGTGTAACTGCTGTTGAGATATGTTCAGAAACTGACTCATCTGGGCCAGTGTCCCATGAATGGCAACTGAGAACAGTATACATAAGTAGGAATATTTCCACGCTCCCCATTCTGTTACTTCTCTCTTAGCAGATGTGTGCATTTAAGCCTGAATCTGCTCCAATTCCTTAACAATTTTTTTAAAGCAAAAGGTGGGTGGATGGAGCCAAAATCAGAGGGGGCATAATTCTCATTCTCCTGTCCGCAATTTCCTCCTTGCTGTCTTGTCTCCTGATGTCTCTTTTCCCATTACTGAAAGTGAGCTTGGTTGTGCGGCAAAAACACTTGAGGTGTGTAGGGTTTTTCTTCCCCTTCACCCCATTTCCCCCCTTTACTCTCATCTGGATCCCCTGCTGTCTGTTTTCTGTGTGGCTTGGCTAGATCCGGGATCAAACATGCAGATCTGCAGCCAGCTTCTCATGAAGTTTGAACCTGAGATTTTGGAGGTCTTGGGCATATCACATGGACTTGGGAGTCCCAAAATATGAGAGCTACCATGCAGAGGCCACTGAAAAGTATGCACTCATGTATGTGTTCACAACGTGTGGATAACATCTTGTGTGCTGGCTCACCCATTTGACCTGTTAACATGCCAGCATTCTGCAGCCAGGTAGTGTCCACACTGATCTCAAATTGCATTTGTGTTCGTTGTTGTGTGTACAACACAGGTAAGTGCCCTCTCAGGACCTTTACATGGAAGCATTTGTGTTTAAATCAGTCTTAAGGCTAATGAATGAGGGAGGTGGGCCTCTGGACAATGAGAATTTCTTGTCAAATTTAAATTGCCCTGGCAGTCTACTAGTCCATGTGTTTCAGTCAAGGCAAGCTCCAGGGCAAGGATTTGGTTGTCTGGTCAAGAGTTTTGAATAGTCATTAGGAACAAGAAGTGAGTACTTTATTGCTGCAACTTCTTGTGCTTAGCAGTTTCTTTAGAAAAAGGCACCGTGAGCAAGAATTTGTGTATATATACGTTGCCATGGCAAGCATTGCTTGAAAACCGTGCTGTGTTCATCGGAGGTTCAGCGAGAAGTGACCTCATTATTTTGAAACTGAAGTAATGCTGCGTGTCAAACCCCATTTTCTCTTTCTGTTCTTTCGTGGAAAAATAGCCTCTCTCTCTCTTCAGAAAAGCTTGATTTGATAAAGTTGCCTTGGTTCCTAGATGGGGAAAGTACACATAAAAGACTTAAAGGGGTATTTTTCGTAGGAGTGATTTCAGACCTGTGATTTACTGTATTTTTGCCAAAGAACTTTTCCCCCCAGCCTGCACTGCAATCTGAACTTGAGTAACGGCCATTGTTCACATGTCCGCAGTGCAGAGCTGAAACTCTGCATTTGGTATATACCATATTGCGGTACGTTTTGTTTTCCCACAAGCAGAAGCATGCTGGAGCGCTGAGAAGCTTCTGTGGTTGGACCAAAAAGAAGGAATGAGCAATTTGTGTTTACAGCAGTGAATCTTGTGCTGCAATCTTCCTCCCTTGCAACACAGGGCCGTGAGTGATCAAAAATGTACACATAGCAGTCCTTGCCTTGAAAACTTTCAGGGAAGCAGAAGAACACACCCCTTTTCAAAAGTTCCTGGTCTGGGTCGCAAGCAGGTTCGGACAGTCTCATGCACAGGATTCAGAAGTTTCAATTACATATCATCACCCAATAACAAAGGGATTGGCAGCTGCAAGAACTTATTTTGTGATCTTCAGGTTGCAATCAGGTGGCCCTGGGAGAGTGTCCCGGGGCCTATAGTAGAAACATTATAGAAACATTAGATGCTACTTTAAAATGAGTTAGGCCATTGTTCCGTATAGATCAGCATTGTCCATGTTAACTGTCAACAACTCTCTAGGGTTTCAGATGGAAGTCCTGGCAAATTGTGTCTTGTTTTTTAAGCCACAAAACGGACAGAGGAGTGCAAGAACACTCTGCACCCTGCCTTTGACAGCCCTGCTGGGATTTCGATAAACAGTTTCAACTGCTTGTGGGTTTCCCACACCTTAGGAAAGCAGCCTTAATGGAGGGAAAGATTAGACCAGCTACTCTTGAATTTATTGTGCTCGAATAGCCTCATTGTCGGTTACAGACAAATATGACTAGCCTTTTGCATTTTGCCAGGTAGCAGAGTTCATACACTTTTTTTGGAAGTAGGTCCCACTGGGTTTAATGGAGTTGACTCCCAAGTAAATGTGCCTAGGAACAGAAGTGTTGATCATGTTGCTCAACCGTCATGTTGTACAGCCCTTCCCATACTGTACTGTGTCAAGTGAAAGGAAATTGCCCCACCCCATGAAAAAGATCCAAATCTAGCATGTCAGGGAACAAGACAAGCCAGAACTGTTCTCCCTGACATGCTGGCTTTCTGTGAGCAGGGAAACATGACATGAGGGAAGCATCTGAAACATGCCCTTTCACTTTTAGATGGAAGGGTCTGGGCACAACGGGGCACCTTGATCCATTTAATTAAGGACATCAACTTTCATGGGGAGAGAGAACATGACCTATAAGAAGTTTCACCCTAGCCTCTGATCATTGTTACTGGCAGAGCCAGCCCACCTATGAGGCAAGGTGAAGCAAATACCTCAGGCAGAAGGATCCACAGGGGCAGCAGACCCCAATGTAGATATTTACTCCCTCCTAGTTCATGAGGTAGGTCTTCCCTCACCCCATCTTCCCTGGCAAGGAGGGAGGTGCCATTTTGTGGATTGCCTCAGATGCCAAAATGTCTTGGGCTGGCCCTAGTAACTTGGGGCGAAATTGTTCTTCAACGTTGAGAATCTCTTTACTTTTTTTCTCTCCTTACTGGACCTGCTCCTTTGCCACCCACAGCATCCTGATGTGCAGAAATTTCAGTAGGTGCAGCTTTTCTGGGCATGAGGGAAGACAAACACAAGGGATCTTTGATCCCCTCGGCCCAAACACACGCACCTTTCCTGCAAACCCCAACGAACATAATGGTAATATTTAACCCACGGTTCTGCTTCGACGTCTATCGTTTTCTTGCAACAGCTGGCGCTTATTGCTAATGCATATTTGATACAGTTATTCTTAGGTTCAGGAAGCAAGCTGCCCCTCAAGGCGTTTGCTCTGTTTTACAATATGCTACCTTTAGATGAGTTTGCTTGAATCCTGCATCTCCCTGGGCTGGTTTGGTGCCTTGCTCCTGAGCAGGGAAAACAAAACATGCACCACCATTTACTCTCCTGGGGCTGAAAGGAATCCTTCGTTTTTCTGAACAGCCCGCAGAAGGGTTTGGTTGTCTTCCCGTGACGCAGAGCATCCTTCTCCAAGCCGGTGCCCTCCAAAGGCTTTGGACTGCAACTCCCGTCAGCCAGCACAGCCGCTGCAATCCCAAACATCTGGAGGCGACCGGCTTGGCGAAGGCTGATAAATTGTTTAATCCTCTTACGCTCAATGTTCTCCGCCACATCAATTGTGTTAATCCTTCTCAAAAGCTTCTTCTATCCTATGAATGAATATGCCAGCTTCTCACAGACAGCACGGTCTTCTCCTCCCCCATTTTTTGAAATGGATCATTTCCCTCTGTTTTAAATGGTGGGTTCCTAACTCCCCCCTTTTCATTTTTTGGTAGCAGCAGTATTTAACACTTAGTCCGTGGTGGGGTTATTGAGGCGGCAGTTGGCAAGGTTGTCTATTGACCTGCAGTAAACCTTTGAATCTCTCTTCCTGAGCTTTCTGATTTTTCCATTCTGAAGATGAGCGTGGCATTCGTCTTTGACTGTGAACAGCATCTTCTTTCTTCTTTCTTCAAAAAGATCGTGGTGGGTGTCTTTTGCATTTGTAGTTTGTTTGATTGTTTGTTTGTTTGTTTGTTTGTTTGTTTTAAAAAAGGAAAGCACTTCCACCCTTCCCTTCTACCCCTATTTCTCTCATATTGGATTTGGAACAGAGACTGGCTTGTCGAAAAGTGATGGTGAGCCATTTGACTAGTGGATCAGAAGCGTTCCCATAACCATGCGGTCGATTGTTCTACAAGTGATATTCCTAAGGGCATATTTCAACACATATATAAAGCTGCTTGGATGATTTTTGGCTTCCTCTAAAGAACAACAAGCACTGGCAGTTTTGTGCAAGGACCAAAAAGTCTTGGGCTGTATACACACGCCTTACATTTAAAGCATGCAACTTCCCCCAAATAACCTTGGGAACTGTAGTTTTTAAAGGGGTGCTGGGAATTGTAGCTCTCTGGCGGGAAGACTACAGTTCCCAGGGTTCTTTGGGGGAGATCACGTGCTTTATATGTTTGGTGTGTGTGCAGCCACAGATTCAAGCCTCTTTATAAAACCACACTCCCCAGTCCCGTGTTCCAAGCCATGACAACAAGGCAAATTTCAAACTGGTTTTAAAATGTGTATTGTAGGCATTGCCTTAAGCTGTGATAGGAAAAAGCTGCACCCTTTGTCCCTCCTTGGGGGTTAGTATTGACCCCCCTCTCCCTTTTCAAAAAGGGCTCCCTCATTTGTGCAAATAAATGTGCTGTATGTGTGGTTGGTAATGAGACTTTTGCTTTTTGCTTTTATTTTATTTTATTGCTGGTGTTCCTTGTGTTGGGCATACAGTGGTACCTCGGGTTACATATGCTTCAGGTTACAGACGCTTCAGGTTACAGACTCTAACCCAGAAATAGTGCTTCAGGTTAAGAACTTTGCTTCAGGATGAGAACAGAAATTGCGCTCCGGCGGCGCAGCGGCAGCAGGAGGCCCCATTAGCTAAAGTGGTGCTTCAGGTTAAGAACAGTTTCAGGTTAAGTACAGACCTCCAGAACAAATTAAGTACTTAACCCGAGGTACCACTGTATTTCTAATGTGTGCTGTCTTCCCCATGCCTATATCTTTTGGGCTTCAAAATGACACGCCCAGTGGGTAGGATCTCATCGCGACACCAGATTGCAATAGATTTCCTGCGGGAGATAAATGAACAAGTTGCTCCATGCAAGGATTCCTGTCACAAAATGCACAGGGAGAGATCTAGGCAGGGCTGTGGGCAGCCTGAGATTAAGAAAAAAATGTTGAAAACTAAAGAATAATTAAAACGCTGTTCCCAGAAAAGCTGAATTCTGCAAAGCTTTACGCTTTGTGAGTGGCAGTCGTCTTACTCAGAAGGCCTGGGACTGCTAGTTTTATTTGAAGCTGAGAGGAAGCTGCGTACATAGTCCGCCCACACATCCCAAACTTCCCTTGGCAAATATCATGCCTAGAAACCTGTCTAGCCTCCAAGTCTTGGGCTAATGAACATTCTCAGCCAATGGAGGGCTGCTTTCAGAGCACCTCTTTCCTCCTAGCTCTGCTAGGAGTGATGTTCATGCATTAGGACCGATACCATTCTGCTGCTAATCCAACAATATACATGTCTGAAAGCACCAACAAAGACTGTGTGCTTCTGTTAGTTTATTTTTGTATGCTCAGCTCTTGGTGGCTTGGCAGAGTGGTAAGGTGTGTCTGTTTTGTTCCTTATCTCTTCCTTTATCTCCTTGTATATTTTCCTGTACCCATTCTAATAATACTCTGGAGTACATCCAAGACAAACTCGGCTGTAATAAAAGAGCAGGAAAAAGCACAGCCCTAATAACATGAGCACACACAGAAATCATTAGCTCCAAAAGCATGCAATAAAAAAAAATATACTCTTGTTTTAGCATTTTTCAAGTCTAAGCTCCGAAAATCTAAAATAATAACAATGTTATTATTTGTACCCCACGCATCTGATTGGGTTGTCCCAGCCACTCTGGGAGGCTGACTGTGTTTAAACAACTTGTAGAGAGGAAATCTGAGGCCTTTATGCACTTAGAAGCTGCGCTGCAGGTGGGAACCCTGATAAACTGGAAACGCAAACACTTAGACTAACCCTTCAGATTTCCCTGTGTCAAAACACAGAATCATGCTGTACTCAGAATACATTCCGCAAATGTAAGCTTGGAAGAGGAGAAGAACTGCATGCAACCTTAGACTTGCTTTCCACAATCTTTAAGAATTCAGCTTGTCAAAGAATCCGAAAACTTTGGACAAGGAGTGTCAGAGGGCAAATAATTGTTGTTGTTTGTAGTGGCAAAGTAGTCATGGGAGCATAGGAGCCGACTCCTAGGGGCTGGGGGGGCTTTAGCCAACGCAATAAAATACTTGGGGGGCCGGCACCCCCCAAGTTGATGGGCATCGCCATTCAAATGGTCATGTGATTGATTATGCTGGGCGGGGCTTACCTGGGGCCCCACAATATTTCGTTCAAGTTGGCAACCCTGAATGAGAGACTGGAGGAAAAATCTGTGCTGGGAAATATAAAACTTGGGTAACTAACCAGTGGAATCTGCCTTGCAATTTGATAAAAAGTTCTCTACATTTCCAAATTTCTCTCTCACCCTTAGCACTAATGACCTGCTGATTTAGCACAGAGTGTCTGAGATTCTTGGGATGCTATATTGAAGTGGTCCATGCACCTTGGAAAGCTAGAGTATGGCTTATTGTGACTGAGCAAGCAGAGAAGAGCCTGTAGCTTCTCTGTTCCTTCCTCTCTGGGCTTTTTCGCTCAGTGCAGGGCAACTTACGTCTTCGAAACTCAGGCTTCTGGTTAAGATCTCTCTGCTTTAACGATGAACTGGGACCAGGACAAACGATCCTAGGTTTGTCTGCCTACCCTGTGCAAAAGGGACCAGCGAGGAGCAATGCTGCTGCCATCTCCTCTGGAGCCAGCAGGGTTTGCCCTGTCGTGGTGGGCAGAAGCAGCCAATTCTGTGCCAGATGCCCCAGCACCTAAGCTTGCATAGCAGAGCTTCTGTTCAACGTACTCTTGTGGGAAGGGCTGTGGCTCAGTGGTAGTGAAATATACTCGGAGTCGAGTTCATGTTCTTTATCCAGCTCATAGTAGTGAGGAGGAATGGAAGTTCCCATGAAATGTCTGCTTTATATACATTATTTACACAATGGGCCCCACATGATTGGCTAATTCTGGGATTCTCCTGTAGGCCAATCAGGTTGCGGATTCCCTTCCACCTGGAGTTGGATTGGGTGGCTCCTGCGGACCAATCAGACTGCTGCATTCTGGATCCTGTTGTTCTAGGACCAATCAGACTGCTGCATTCTGAAACCTATTGTTCTAGGACCAATTAGACTGCTGCATTCTGAATCCTATTGTTCTAGGACCAATCAGACTGCTGCAATTTGGATCATATTCATCTCAGTAAATAACAGGTAGAATACCTGCTTGGCATGCAGAAGGCTCAACCCTTTACATCTTCCTGTAGGACTGGGGAAGACCCCTGTGTCTCAAAACTCTGGAGGGCCACTACCAGTCCGGGTGTAAACAACGCTGATGGATCAATGGTCTGACTTCATTGTAAGGCAACTTCCCATGTTCTTATGGATTATTCAGGATGCAGCACTAAACACCGTGATCTGGCCCTAACTTTGGTTGAGCTCAGTTACATAAGAGTAGACATGTGCAGGATTGTGCTTCATGCGTTGTAGAAACTTTGTGGCATTGTCAACCAGCAGTACAGGGTTGCTTTCCCTTTTCCTAAGGCTTGTGGTTTGCTTTGCAAAAATTCAAGCATTTCCTTCTCCCCCCTTTCTCTTCTGCATTGCAGTCTTGGCATCTCCCGTTCATTGGGAGACTTTAAGAACAAAGCATGTTGTTGTCAAGCTGGTCTTGCTTTCTGCTAGGCTACTTCTCCGTGTTTAGAGGAATAATCTCTTTAGGAACACGGAGGACGGGGGGAATTTAGCTCAGACATTGTGCTATGGGGAAATGCTTTGCAACGTCGACCTGTTCCAGAGAACAGTCGTCTGACTCAGAACTAGCATGTCTTTAACAAAGGCTGCATGCATACGAACACATCTGTAGCTCAAAAAGGAAAGAACGTCAAGGAGAGAATGGTTTCTGGTCCTCATTTGGTTCTGAGTCCTGGGAAGGAGCTCTTGTCCTGAGAGGAAAGGATGAAAAATCAACAAAATAAAGCAAACCAGTTTGAAGTAATAATAATAATAATAATAATAATAATAATAATAATAATAATTTATTTATACCCTGCCCATCTGGCTGGGCTTCCCCAGCCACTTTGGGCGGCTTTCAACAAAATATTAAAATACCGTAATACATCAAACATTAAAAGCTTCCCTAAACAGGGTTGCCTTCAGATGTCTTCTAAAGGTTTGGTAGTTGTTTTTCTCTTTGACATCTGGTGGGAGGGCGTTCCACAGGGCGGGTGCCACTACCGAGAAGGCCCTCTGCCTGGTTCCCTGTAACTTGGCTTCTCGCAGTGAGGGAACCGCCAGAAGGCCCTCGGCGCTGGACGAGTGAGTTAACCAGTTTCCAAACGCTCCTTGTCGTTCTGAACCAATCCTGCTTTCAGGCCCTCAGAAGATCGGGTTGGGCACGGTCCGCTGTGGGAAGGGTCTGGCTTCTATATGCCAGGGGTTTGGCTGCTGATAACCGCCTATGGCTACCCTGAAAGGAGCAGGAGCTGCTCAGAAGCACACATTGCATCCTCTAAGGCAGGGGTCAGCAACCTAAGGCCCATGGGCCACAAGCGCCCCACGGGGGTCGTTTAACCGGCCCAGGAGCCGCCCCCCGAACCGAGCTGCCCGCTTGGCGAGTCCCTGCGCACTGTGCTAAACCGGCACAGTGCAAGGACTCACTTCCGCAGCACCGGAAATCGTGTCTCCGCATGTGCTGATGTCGAAAATTACGTCTGTGCAAAGGCCGACGCTGGAAATCACGGGCGCGCACACAGTCCGGTCCATGGAGGGATCTCCGCTGGAGTGAACCGGCCCAGGCGAGGTAAACCTTGCCGCCCCCTGCTCTAAGGCAGTGGTGTCTGTGCCTGGCAAATGGACAGCTCTGTCTCAAGACATATGTAGCCCACGTTAAACCAGTTGTCCACAAAGTGCATTTTTGCAGGTTGACAAAGGCGCAACAGAGAGAATCTTCCATCGGTGGGCGAACCTCTGGTGCAAGGCTTGAATGCATTGTTTGTCACAGTTGGAGATGAAGACTGGGCTCAAAACGTAACCCTTTTTCTGTGAAGGATTTGAAGGAAGAGAGAGATGCGGCTGTGCTGGTGGCTTGGGAGGGAGTTCAAGGCTTGAGAAACGACGAGAGAGAATGTGTTGAAACACTGGCAAGAGCGGGACACTTTGGTGTGGCAGGCCTACACCTGGAAACAAGAGCAGAAGACGTAAGGATACAGAGCACTTTAGAAGTAAGGAATAGTCCCAAAGTGCAGGTTGTATCATCTAAACCTCAATTGTTACACAGATCTGATTTTCATCTGCTCTTTACTCACTCTTTTTTCTCTGTTCTGCAATGGGTAGTCACAGCACGCTTGCAGAACACCATGTAAGGCTGTGAGGACAGCTTGAGGAGGCTTTTAACAGAATGACCGTTGCTGGAAATGAAACACAGTTGTAGTGAAAAATAGATTTTTCATGCTTCATGTTTCCCTAATGACTGTTTCTGTAAAATACAGTGTTTATTTTGTCGTAAAGCAGTCTGCCCTTTTGCAAGTATTCCAATTACTGTAAGAAGATTGCACATACAGAGCTTTCTTTAAAATACTCTCTCTCTCTGCCCTTGGTTATTCTTCTGACCTCTTCCTGTTTGATCTTAATAAAGCATTTAATTTGTGGTTCTCCTTCACTTGTATGAAGTTCAACTCCTCATGTGTTGTTTCATATGGCGGCACAATTATTATTATTATTTTTAAAGAAACTGGGCAATTCTATTTGTAAGGTCACATAGATGAAGGATCTTCCTTTTCTCTTGGGCTCTGCTCTTCCCTCCTTCAAGATGCAGGATGTATTCTTTGTTGCCTTGGGGATAGAATTACCTGCTCTCTTAAGATCCAATGACTTTAGTGAAGGCAAACATCTCTGAATAGTCCCTTTGTAAAAGGAGAAGCTTGTAGGAAGCACCCTGTTCTCTGTTTACTATTAACAGGACTTAGGCATTCAATCCTAAGGGAAGTGTTCATTGTATCACAGCCTGACAGCAGAATCGAGTGCAAGGTTTCTTCAGAAGTCAGTCCCAGCTGAGGCGCCCTCCCAGGAACAAGTGCCTAGGATTGCAGATTACAGTGTAAAGTCAGGGCAGAAGTCAGTTCCATGGGGCCTTATTCACAGATCAGTGTGAATAGGATTGCTGCCTTATAGAGGTTTTTTTAAGAGTTCAAGAAGAATCCTGCTGGATCAAGCCAAAGTTTCATCCAGCCAACCATCCGGCCCTCATAGTAGCTAACCAGATGCCCACAAGCAAAACCAGACAATAGCAGCACTGAGTTGTTATCGATAGTATCTCTTAGCGCAGGGGTCAGCAAACTTTTTCAGCAGGGGGCCGGTCCACTGTCCCTCAGACCTTGTGGGGGGCCGGACTATATTTTTTTGGGGGAAATGAACAAATTCCTGTGCACCACAAATAACCCAGAGATGCATTTTAAATAAAAGCACACATTCTACTCATGTAAAAACACGCTGATTCCCGGACCATCCATGGGCCAGATTTAGAAGGCGATTGGGCCGGATCGAGCCCCTGGGCCTTAGTTTGCCTATGCATGATTTACTGGGAAGAAACTCCAATGAAAATCCCCGTTATTACGTATGTTACATGGCTGCTTATCTGTATATATTTTAAAATTATATATATATGGGTTTTTTATGGTGGCCTATATTTGTAATGGGACGCGGGTGGCGCTGTGGTCTAAACCACTGAGCCTAGGGCTTGCCGATCAGTAGGTCGGCGGTTTGAATCCCCACGACGGGGTGAGCTCCTGTTGTTCAGTCCCTGCTCCTGCCCACATAGCAGTTCAAAAGCACATCAAAGTGCAATTAGATAAATAGGTACCACTTTGGCAGGAAGGTAAATGGTGTTTCCGTGCGCTGCTCTGGTTTTGCCAGAAGTGGCGTAGTCATGCTGGCCACATCACCCAGAAAAAACTGTCTGCGGACAAACGTCGGCTCCCTCGGCCAGTAAAGCGAGATGAGCACCACAACCCCAGAGTCATCTGCGACTTAACTAAACTGTCAGGGGTCCTTTACCTTTAGTTATACAGTGGAACTTCGGGTTACGGCAGGGATCCGTTCTGGAGGGCCCACCACAACCTGAAAATGACGCACAACAAAGTGCATGACCGCATATGCGCAAAGTGCAATTAACACTTCTGCGCATGTGCGAACGGCAAACCCGGAAGTAACCTGTTCCAGTACTTCTGGGTTTGCCGCTGACGTTCGCCCAAGCGGACGCAAGCAGAGGCAGACGCAGAACGAGGTTTGACTGTATTTGTAATGCCTAATAAAGGTTTGGCAAAGTAAGTTGTCGCCCTCTCAGCATTTACGATTCTCAGCTTCTGAGATACAGAGGCACAGTGCCTCCAACAGTGTGTGGTAGAGCCTAGCTACCGTGCCTTAGCTTGATAGCCTTCGTCTCCATGAATTTCTCTCCTTTAAAAGTTGGCAGCCTTTGCTATATCTAATTAGAGGGAGTTCCATCCTTTAGCTACGTGCTGTGTGAGTGAGTCCTTTCTTTTTGCCTGTCCCGAATCTTCCAATGTCCATGTGTTGAGATTCCTGCGTTGCAGGGGGGTTGGACTAGATGGCCTTTGGGGTCCCTTCCAGATTTACAATTCTGTGATCCTGTGATTCATTTGATGGTCTTGATTCTAATGTTGTGAGAGGAAGAATGTATCCACCCTCTCCACACTATGCATATTTTATCCACCTCCAGCATTCTCCCTTTTTTTCTGCACTAAAAAACCTCAAATGCAGTAACCTTCTCTCATCCAGCTGCTTGGTCCTGTTGGTTGCCCTTTTCTGACCCTTTTCCAGCTTTTCAGTATCTCTTTTGAGGTGAGGCGACCAGAACGGTACAGTATTCCAAGTGCTGTCTTGAGTCTCCCCATTTGCATAATAGCATTATGATATCGGCAGCTTTCATTAAAGCTTAGATCAGGCTTGGTTTTACTGAGTGCAGTTGATAAATAAAGTATAAAATAATAAAAAAAGTGTTTCCCTATTGCAGAATAATTCCAAGGCATCTCATCTGTTGATTCTTGAAAAGAGAGTTAAACGGATTGCTTGTGAACAGCCGCTGGCTAAAAATGATGATTTTGCTACAAAATGGTGTTCCAGGTGCTTCTGTGAGCTGTACTTTATATGTAAATGGAATGGGAAGCTTATAATGATTCACTCGTTGAAGAAGAAAAAACGAGTCTATTAAATCTGCAGCTGAGTAGATCGCTCTGAAATATTGTCATAGTAAGGCTTCTTTCTCCCCCTTTCATCACATGCCTGCGATTGCCAAATACACGCTCAGTTTTGCGCTCTCCTCTCGCCTGGTTGGGTCTGTTCCAGGATTTCCCACAGTCATTCCTGGTCATTGACCTCAGCAGGGCTGGCTTAGTGTGCTCATTCTGAACTTGAAGAGGCTTGTCATCATACATGCAGCAATTGCTGATGTGGAAAAACTTCTATATCACGGGACTTTTCTTTTTTTTTACAGGAACAAACCCATCCCTGTTGTGATGGTGACTACTGTTCCTTTGCAACAGAGAAATCTACCCCATTTTTAATGTGAAATAATTGTTGCATTAGACAGAAGCTATTGTTCCTTTCTGATGAAGGGAAGTAACAGTGCCACTCTATTCTGCCTTGTTCAGACCACACCTGGAATCCTGTGTCCAGTTCTGGGCGGCAATTTAAGAAGGCTGTTGACAAGCTGGAACGTGTGCTGAGGAGGGCAACCAAGATGATCAAGGGTCTGGAAACCAGGCCCTTGTGAGGAATAGTTGAGGGAGTTGGGTACGTTTAGCCAGGTAAAGAAGTGGCTGAGAGGAGATAGGATTGTTGTTGTTTAGTCGTTTCCGACTCTTTGTGACCCCATGGACCAGAGCACGCCAGGCACTCCTGTCTCCCACTGCCTCCCGCAGTTTGGTCAAACTCATGTTGGTAGCGTTGAGGACACTGTCCTACCATCTTGTCCTCTGTCGTCCCCTTCTCCTTGTGCCCTCCATCTTTCCCAACATCAGGGTCTTTTCCAGGGAGTCTTCTCATGAGGTGGCCAAAGTATTGGAGCCTCAGCTTCAGGTTCTGTTCTTCCAGTGAGCACTCAGGGCTGATTTCCTTAAGAATGGATAGGTTTGATCTTCTTGCAGTGCATGGGACTCTCAAGAGTCTCCTCCAGCACCATAATTCAAAAGCATCAATTCTTTGGCGATCAGCCTTCTTTATGGAGATAGGATAGCCATCTTCAAATATCTAAAGAGCTGACACATGCAAGACGGAGCAAGGTTGTTTTCTCCTGCTCTGGAGAGCTTGACTTGAACCAATGGCTTCAAGTTACAAGAAAGGAGATTTCGACTAAGCATCAGGGGGAACCTTCTGGCAGTAAGAGCTGGTCAACAGTGGAACGGTCTCCCTCGGGTGTTTGGGGACTCACGATGGCCTCTGTCATGGATGCTTTAGTTTAGGGTTACCAGACGTCCCCGGTTCCCGGGGACAGTCCCTGGATTTGCAAATCTGTCCCTGGACAAATTCCGTCCCCAGATTTGCAAATCTGTTCCCGGGAAACGTGGCAGCGGCAGCCTCAGCAGCACAGAGCCAGCCTGGTAGCGCAGTTGGCTCTGGCTGGCTTCAGGAGCTGCTCGCTGCCACTGCCACTGCCAAAGTGGAACTGGGGACGTCCAGCAGTACAGATCTCCTGCCCCCTCCCCCTTTTGTTTTGACAGTTTGGGGGAGGCTTGGGAGTTGTGGGCGGGCGGCTGTTGCCCAGGAGGGGCGCAAGGTGCGCGGTTTCTCTGTCGGGCAAGGTGCAAAGCCCTTCTTTTGCACCCTGTGAAACAAAAACTGGGCAACAGCCACCCACCCGCGACTCCCAAACCTCCCCCAATCTGTCAAAACAAAGGGTGAGGGGGCAGGAGATTGGGGGAGGCTCGGGAGTCATGGGCAGGTGGCGCACAGTTGCACAGTTTCTTAAAACTCTGTGCATTTATGTTTCGCAGGGTGCGAAAGAAGGGCTTCGCACCTTTATACAATACTCATGTGTGCTTGGGCCCAGGGTCTTTTGCCTCACCATCCGCACTACTGACTCCCTGTTGCTACTCAGCTTCAAAAAAGAAAAAAAAGAAAAAAATGTCCCCGGATTCATTGAAAAAAATCTGGTAACCATACTTTAGTTTAAATTCTTGCATTGCAGGGGGTTGGACTAGAAGACCCCCGGGGTCAATTCCAACACTATGATAATCTGTTTTGAACATTGGAAGAGCCTGTTCAGCTTCAATTAATACTTAAAAAAAATAATTTAGCCTCTTATGCTGAAACCCAAACATTTCACTGCTGTAATTTATCAGTAGTGACTATAACCACACGCTGGAAAAAATGATCAACCCTTGGCAAGGCAACTGCTTGAATTTTAAACAGGGAAGCGGCAGCAATTGCATTCCACTTGGGCAGTTATGGTGTCATCAGCCTGTAATGCAGGTGTGAAAATGTATATGCTGGGGACATACAGGAGGAGGATGCAGTTAGAGATGACGAAGCATTATTTTCATAAGCAGCCTGTGGGTTGCTATGGAATAGACCTGCCAACCTTAGCAGTGAAAAGTAATGTTTAACATACTTAAGGTCTTGCTGTTCAAATGAGTGCAAGGCACCTAACCTGTTTCTCTAGATTCATGGGCATGCCATTGCTATGATGAAGCCAGTCTAGCATGTTGTTGTCAACAACGATGTAGGAAAGCTTATTTTCCCTCTTTTTCTGCCCCACCCTTGTCGCTTGACTCTATTCTCTTATTTTCTGGTTCCAGGGCTGGCATCAACACATGGTGTACTTGGGCAGTGGTCAGGAGCCCAGTGGCCTTGCACGACCCACCCTCAGTGCCTGCCTTGGGGCCTCTGAAATTCCTCTGCCCAGCCACCAAAATTCTTTCTAGACTCAGCTGTTCCTGCAGCTGAAAGAGGAGTACTTGCTCCAGTCCATAGTCAATATTGTTGTATAATGTAAGAAGAAGCGACTGCAGATATGTAGTGACTTAATGGCATAGGATCTGGCGACAGTTAAGGAATGCATGTCATTGTCAAATCCTTCATTCAAACATATTTTGAGTGCTGTACTCATTTATTTTAAGATTTGTATCCTGCCTTTCTGATCAACAGCAAAGTGTTGAAGGTGGCTAATATAATAAGGTTACTAGATGTCCCCGTTTCCTGGGGGAAATCAGTCCCCTGACAAAATCCATCTATTTAGTAGAAAGTTGAAAAGTGTCCTCGGATTCACTGGAAAAAATATGGTAACCTTATAATGAACCTCTGGAGTGGGGAAAACCAACCAGTACATCACGAAACAATACAGACAATTTGTGGGTTTCCTCCACTAAAAAAAACCCATTTGACTCAGGGCTCTGAGCTTCTCCTGGGTTTAGCTACTGTTTTGATTTCCCATGATGGCCTCGGATGATGCTGTGCAGAGGGCATTGTGGGAAATTAAAATGTTGGCTAGATCCAACCACTCAGAGTTAGTTGTGGAATATGGCCAGTGCCCTTGAGCTCAGTGGCAGAGCCCATACTCTGTGTGCATATAGTTCAGCTCCTATAATCTCCAGTTAATCTTGGGTAGCAGGCCTGCGGAGAGCTCTACCTGAAACCTTGCAATGTCTCTGCCAGTCAGAGGAGTTAGCGCTAAGCTAGCGTGACCAATGGTCTTGGTATGAGCCAACTCCATGTGCTCACGGGATGAGGGAAGCGCAAAGAACGGACTGTGATTTGGTTGAGTTCCTGCTCCGTAGTGTGCTTAGCCTAATGGACACTTCAGCTTTTTAAATTGGTCCATTTTCAGCATTTACAAATCAATTCTGTTTTTGAAAGCCGACTCTGCCTCTGCTACATTGAAACGCCTCCCTGGCTTGCAGGCAGCGTGGAATATTTCAGTTTTGGCTGCAAATAACCCGCATAGCACTGAAATATTTACTTAGCAACAAGCCAAAATAGTTCAGAGATTACAGTTTTGAACCTTTGGATCCATCAGCACAATCCTCACTGTGTTTAGAGACTTCTGTTTTTTTGCAGTATAGAAATGGGAGTGTAAATCCTTAAGAAAACACTTGTTCATATATGGATATTGCAACAGTTAAGCTTTGCATATTTTCCTTGGAAACTAAGCCATAAGGAGATCCAAAACAGATTCTTGTCTGTTTGCAAATGTTTCTCCCCCAGGTTCCATGAAGAGTACTTTTCTGATTAACCCAAAGCCAGTTTCATGACTCATTACAAGGGCAGCAATTAATATGCATTTGAATCGTATGAAAACTTGTGGCCTTCTAGATTATGTTATTCAGAACATCACCAAGATAATTAAAAGCAAACATAGCTGATACCTTAAAATCATGGCTCCAGGTAAACGGATAAAGGGAGGTAAGTTCACAGATGATCTTCATGATTGAGAAGGCTTCTGTTGCCGGTAGCCAGCCACCTTTCTTGAGAAGATGGATGCACTGATGGTTCTCTGGTGAGGATCTTAATAACGGGGGCATTTGCCAGATAGTTCTTCAGACAGCGTAGTCCAAGGATGGGAAATCTATGGTCCTCCAGGTGTTGTTTGCCTGCAGTTCACATCATCCCTGACTATTGGGCATTCTGGCTGCGACTGATGGGATTTGGAGTCCAACAACGTCTGGTGGGGGTGGCCACAGTTTCTCTCCCACTGATCTAGGCTTTCAAGCTTTAAGCCAGTGTGAACCCAGGGCCTTGTTTCACTGTAGCCTGGCTATCTTCTCTGAAGGACACACGCAGATCCTTCATCATTGTGGTCTGTCAGTGAGCAAGATACTTTTCTCTCTTTATTTTACTTCTTCATCTTCAAAAATGGTATCAATACAGAAAGGTTTTTTGAATCAGCAATGTGTGAATGAGAACAAAGTGGAAGCACTTCTTGCTGTTTCTCCTCTTGCAAATCCATGCACCATGGAGTGAAATTTGATTGGTATTGACCGATGCTTTTGGAGAGCTGATAGCAATTTTTGTATTTATTTTGAACGAGTTTCCTTGGCCTAGAATAGTGTATAAACAAAATCACGAGCACTCTCCGTACGAATGAAAACACTTTTATCATTGTGACAATCCTGACGGGTTTCCAGCTTGGAAAAGGCCATGTAATTTCTTACTTCCTCCAGGTATACATGCAAATTATGTATGCCAACAGAATTGTTCCTTATAATTGCTTTAAGCCTTCTCAATTATTGGGAAACAAGACTTAGCATCTCCTTAGGCCAAAGGAAATATACCTTTAATAACTTACTCAAGATTGTCTCGATGGCAGAGTCTACTCCAAGGTAAATTGATTTTAAGGACTGGCTTTTAAATTGTTTTCAGAACGCTTTCTTTTCTGCGGTTTCCCCCAAAGAATTGTGGGAGCTGTAATACTAAGAGATGTGTTTGTGGTGCTTGGGGTGGGCTGCCTCACAATATTGTTATTTTCCTTAGCAGACACTCTTGGCTTGAGCGGCATTTTTGTGTGCAGGACAGGGAAGTTATTTTCCAGAGAAGCGGTCCCCTAATTCTGTTATTCTCAGCTGCTGGTTCCACCTCAGTCTTGATTATTTTCTTCCAACCTGGGGTCTGTTTCACAAGTATCGTCAAGGGACCTCAGTGGAACTTGTACATTGAGGCCTTTTACCAGTTCCACAAACGCATAAATATTGATCGCGTTCTAAAAGCTTGCTCCAGCGTCGTCCTTTTTGTCAAAACCTTCGCCCTGAACAGACACAAACACCCCCCGCTCTTTTTCTAATAGCCAGTAGTTATGCTGATAAAACTTTCATGAACATTGCTTCTTAAACATTCTCTGAATCTCTTTCTTGCAGCAATGATTACCCACTATTATTCCCACCCGCCTACATCCTCATGATATCCTAGAAGAGCAGCGAAAGAGGCCAGAATTCAGGCATAATGGAATTTCTCCTCTTGAGGAGAATGCAGGCGCATTCATGCAAATAATGAAACACAGTAGAGGTCTCCTGTTGTAGCTGCTGACTGTCAATGTATGACTTGGGAGGATAATAATGTTACCAGTGAGAGAGGGGAAAGGGGAGAGCATGGGGACTGCTGCTGCTATTGTTGTTGTTCGGTCAATGATGGAGAATGGTGGGATGTACAGCAGACTTGCAAATAAATATTCAGATTTGTTGCCCCTCAGAAACACAGGAGCCTGCCTTCTCCTCATCTCACCCTCCCATTTTGCTCATATGTGGCACATGAATATCCCCTAAGGAGGAAACCTGCCGACTGTTTTCCATTCTGCAAAAAATTCCTGGCCTAATAAACTGCAACGAATTCTTACTCTCCGCTGCAGTCAAATCAATAGATCTTTCCTGCACAGCAAAAAAAGTTACCTTACAATGCGCTGGGTATTTTTAAAAATCCAGATCTGCAGTACTTTATAGTCCACTAACATCAAAGACACGTGAGTAATAATTGTCATCTCCATACAATAGTCCCTGCCTCCCACAATCAAAGCGAATAAATGTATTGAATCCTGGTTGCAGCCACTGTGAGTGGCTTTAGGGATCACCGCCTTATTAGGTCCAACTAAAATGTCGTAAAATAGTGAGCAAGCCTTCCAGTTCTTATTCAGACTGGATGTTCAACAAAACAGTGAGATGAAGGAGAAAGAAGACACTGGGCATGATGCTCAAGTTCCTAAGTCTGCAGTTCATTCCTGCCTTACGATGGAGTGCTCATTGCATTGGACTCTGCTAGATGCAAAACAGATTTCAGGGTTGAACTGTGCTGCTTGGGTGAGGAAAAACTACAGCTTCTCCATATAAAAACTGGCAATGAATGATCACTCAGCTGAACAGCTGGGTCTCTTGTGAGGCAGACAGCAGAAGTAGAAAGAAATGTGACCGTTTTCATATTGCCAAAGTTGGGGGTTAATTTTAGATGGTGCCCTGGGCCTATAGAAGATAGGTTGGGTGGTGACTGGAGACTTGTGATCTCACATCTTTTGAGTGCTAGGAAATCATCTTCCTTCAATTTTTAAGCCCCCTGTCCTTCCACAGCCGAGTTCGTTATTCTGCAAAGAAAAAATAAATTGTAGGTAGGCAGAGAATGCAACAATATTTCTCTGGTTTGCACAGTTTCCAATAAGGTTGACAGGACATAGCCCTCCTTTCCGGCCATGGCTTGTGAACATACTTGTGCTACAGGCTTTTCAGTCAGAGTCTGCTTCCCTTGCTTGGGTGTTGAAACAAGGGGCCAGCACCCATGACTACAGTCCTTAAGGATTTTGTGGCAGAAGGAGTGTTTCTCTTATGAAAGCTATGCTGTAATTTTATTCTGCGTGAACATTCCCCCCTCCCAGTGCCATTTCCCTAAAATAGGAAATCCTGGTTTAAATGCCACAGGATATTTTAATCATTGTAGAAAAGGCCTTCCCTTTCTTTTGTTCTGTTTTAAAAAAACAATGCTTTTTTAATTTGCCTTCCCTGTTGCTTGATATCTAAAAACAGCTCTTCCTGCTGAGATTTTAACACCAACAGGCTATGAGTTCACCCATCACCGCCAAGCCCACGCATGTAAACATCTTATGTTATGGGCTGCAGCAAGCACCCGTTTCCCTGCCGCATTAAGTATCTGTAACATACATTTTCTTTGTTTAACACTTTTACAAGTAGGAAGAGGGGGAAATTATTTCTATATCACATCTCTGTTTAATAGCAGAGTAAAGACAATGGAGGACTTTGCTCTGCTTTGTTTCAAACAGTTTGCCTCAGTGCAGTTGAAATTGAAAAAATCGTTTGAGGAAACACGTTTCTCTTGTGTCGCAATTTTGACATGAATTGTGGGGTGGTCTGGTTAGTGGCAGGCCTGAGCAGAAAGGGAACCAGTGTTCACACATGCACACACACACTATTTCCTAACTTTGCCAGGCCAATTTGGAAGTGGTTGGGGAGTGTGTCTGAGGTTGCCAACTTTTTTGGGCCCAGGGGCATATTTGCAAACCAGAAAAACTATTGTGGGCACACACACGCACAACCACAACCACAACCAAGCACACACCACAACTTCATTCTATTGCCGATTTATTTATTTCATAACGTTTCTACACCGCTTGATTGTACAAAAGAAACCTCAAAGCGGTTTACAGAATTGGCTGCAGCAATACTTTGAGCCTAATCTGGTCAGGATGAGGAGACCCTGTGGACACCAAGCGAGGTCTCTGGGGTGTGTGTGTGCTGGTATATGTGGTCTAGCTGGCTGCATTGTGAGGTCAAGCACTGCAAAAGAGCCGTGTGTAACTATGGAAACTCTTGCTCCAAATAAAACAGAACCATTTTCTTGCTGCCCAAGGCAATAGAGGTGGCGTTTGCCCACCACAGTGAAAGCAGAACTGCTGGCCTGGTTGCTGAGGTGTTAGGCAGATGTTCTCAAAGCACCACCGGGCAGTAGTTGTTCTTTTGCTGAGGTGCTGTGCCCTCACTGGGGTAGCAGCAGTTGGTGTCTCCCAGAGCCCACTGTGTGATTGGCTTCCAATGGGAGTCCTTGTTTGTTTCACATAGTTATATGCCGCATATTCCTAGAATAGTCACTTAAGTTGGAGGTACCCAATGTGGTGCCCTCCATATGTTGCCCCACCATCCACTGCCGGCATGGAGGCTGGTTTGGGGATGATGGGAGTTGTAGTCCAACAAGATCTGGAGGCACCACACTGGCTTTGCCTGCTGTAAGTGGTTTACACCTCAGATAACAAATCTTGTATCTCTCTTTCTATACAAAGCAATGAAACTAAATACAGTGGTACCTCGGGATGCGAATGGGATCCATTCCGGAGTCCCGTTCGCATCCTGAATGGAACATAAGACGCAACGGCGCGTCTGCGCGGGTCATGTTTTGCGGCTTCTGCGCATGCGCATGACGTCATTTTGAGCGTCTGCACATGAGCAAGTGGCGAAACCCAGAAGTAACATGCTCCATTACTTCCGGGTTGCTGCAGAGCGCAACCCGAAAGCACTCAACCTGAAGCACATTCAACCCGAGGTATGACTGTACCGTTTTGTATAATCAAATTCTAGAAAAAACATAGCAAGAGTCAGGGAAGGTTTGTTGGAGCAGATGGACTTTCTGTTCCAACATGGGCAAATCCCTCAGTCTAAGCGCATCCAGATAACTTTCTAGCTGGGCTTTGAACCTGTATTCCCTACATCCAGACTTAATATGCTGCTTAGAAGAGTCTTAAATTTGATTTTTCAATGTCTTCCTTTAAGGGATTTGAGGGCGGTGCTAATAATATCCGACCAGCGTACTAGAGTTCTGGATTTGAGCGTGTTGGCAGCATAGCAATGCACAGTATGGACCTTCTTTCTGGGTAGGAAATAGGACTTTGTATCCTAATGAAAAGGGACGCGGGTGGCGCTGTGGGTAAAACCTCAGCTCCTAGGACTTGCCGATTGCATGGTCGGCGGTTCGAATCCCCGCGGCGGGGTGCGCTCCCGTCGTTTGGTCCCAGCACCTGCCAACCTAGCTGTTCGAAAGCACCCCCGGGTGCAAGTAGATAAATAGGGACCGCTTACCAGCGGGAAGGTAAACGGCGTTTCCATGTGCTGCGCTGGCTCGCCAGATGCAGCTTGTCACGCTGGCCACGTGACCCGGAAGTGTCTGCGGACAGCGCTGGCTCCCGGCCTATAGAGTGAGATGGGCGCACAACCCTAGAGTCTGGCAAGACTGGCCCGTCAGGCAGGGATACCTTTACCTTTTATCCTAATGAAATGGACTGGCAGACTCTGGGGGTTATTTGATGTCAAAAAAAAGGTTCATGCTTTCCCCCTTTGGCTAAAGAACTTGGGGGAACATCCTGGCTCTATGGAGAAATCATCCCTTTAGCATTGCTCAAGTTATTAAAATAACTGAAGACTCTTGATTTATTTTTTGAAGACACTGTCTTATGCATGGCACAGACACAGAACTTCTCTTCTCAGAAATTATTGTTCTTTGTAGATTAAAAACAAAACAATCATGTTCCTCTTCTTCCACAAGGAATCCTAGTAACCTCTGAGACGTCTGTCTGGATTTCTGCCCATCTTAGAGTTACTTGAGTTCAACAAACTCACTCTTAGAAAAGTTCATACAGGCCTGAAAAGTCTCCTCAGGCAGTTTTTACAGTTCTGCCTGATAAAGCAACAGCCGGGCAAAGGCAGAAACCACACAATTGCCACATTGCACCATTTTTTTGTTTCCTTCACAAGAAATTCATAGTACTTCCTTCGACATAAAAAGAAATCATTAACAGGAAACCTCAGGTTAAAACTTAGGAATTTATAATGAATTCTCTGTTTGCAATAAATGGGTGGGTCGTGGTTTGAAAGTGGTGTCCTTGTAGCCTTGCTGAAAAATGGTTGCTGGGTTAACAAGTAGGTAAAATGATGTGGTGATTTAATTTGACTTATTTGGCTAGCCCTTCTGGCAAAACATCAGTGTCATCAGGCAGTTCGGCTCTCTAAAGTTCCCAGCTGGTTCAAACCTCAAATAAGTGTTGTCACCCATCTTTGGGACATTTTAAGCAAGTAAATTGTGTTAAAAGGTAAGAGCCCTTGGGGTGCACGGGAACCATTCTAAAAACCTCCAGTTATAGTATTTGTGTGGGCATGTTTATATATATTGTGGTTCATATATGTTGCATGAACTGTCAGTGGAGGTTCTAGAGAGGCAGGTATGCCTTCTTAAATTTAAAAAGTTCATCTCAAATGTTTCATCCTAAAATGAGAGGGGGAAAAGAGAGAATTTTGTTTACATTCTGTCTTCTGAGCCTTTTATTACTATATTGCTTTCCAAGACTTGAAATTTAGGTCTGCTCTTTCTCACTCAGTGGGAGTTCCCTTGCTGTGTGTACAGATGTTTTTTATTTTACATAACCGGTACAACAAGACACAGCCCGTGTCAATCACAGACATAATTTTCCTCTCATCCAAAGTATCTCCACTATTGCTGAAAAGTGCTACCTCCTTTTTCAGGAATGTCTGGAAACAAACATCTGCCTGGCTGAAAACAGAGGAGCCAGAAGGAAAGTCTGAGATTTAGTTGCTGAGATTGAGTGCCATCATACCATACCAAGGGGAAATGAAAAATGAATCCAGGGTTGGGGGCACTGGCTGTTTTGTTTCCCAGAGTTTGAAGGCAGTGAAATTAGGTCCCATTCCCCCCAAATTAGTCATGATCAATGACATCGCGTAAGCACCATAAATATACCTGCAGTTGGCTAATTGATTTGAGCCATGCAGGTAGTCATTGCCACATGCCACCACATGATTTGTGTGGCACGCAAGTAATAAAAGGATGTGCAGAGAGCAGGAAATCTGTCACATCTGTATCTGACAAATGACAGGGATTCCCATTTGCATGAGTAATCGCTACACAAGTGCAGCAGTTTGCCAATCTGCTCATGGGGCTGTGTGACATCGGCAAAATCAAGTGATAAGGCCCACATGGATTCCACCACTTCTCAAAAATAAATAAAATCTTGTAAATAGAGGAATTGCATGCTAGACTTGACGTGTTCTATTTCCCTGTGTAAGTAAAGGTAAAGGGACCCTGACCATTAGGTCCAGTCGTGTCCGACTCTGGGGCTGCGGCGCTCATCTCGATTTATTGGCTGAGGGCGCCGGCGTACAGCTTCTGGGTCATGTGGCCAGCATAACTAAGCTGCTTCTGGCGAACCAGAGCAGCGCACGGAAACGCCGTTTACCTTCCCGCCGGAGCAGTACCTATTTATCTACTTGCACTTTGATGTGCTTTCAAACTGCTAGATTGGCAGGAGCTGGGACCGAGCAACGGGAGCTCACCCCTTTGCGGGGATTCGAACCCCTTACCTTCTGATCAGCAAGCCCTAGGCTCTGTGGTTTAGACCACAGTGCCACCCGCGTCCCTATTTCCCTGTGTACAGAGAGGCTATCTTTCTTGGGGTGGGGGAAGAGATTTGCATATGCTTTCCCTCTCTGCAACATAAAATCCAGGAGAATATTTCAGTTTTGCTGATAGGCATATATAAAAGAGGAATACACTCCAGAAACTGGTGGTTAGACGTCTTGTGCTAAGCCTGTCATGGGAAACTCCCCGGGCCTCTCGGACCATGTCGGTCCAAAAGTGATTGCTTTGGGTTGCTAGGCTGGCTTCCCTGCCCTCCCTTAGCTAAGCCTTCTTTTGCAGGTTAACCTCTTCTCCACAGGTACGCGGGCGCTGCTACGCTATGGTCGCTGTTGAAGGGCCGGAAAGGAATTATCCTTCATTGGCAGGTTTTGCCTTCCCCGTAGCAAAACGTCACAACTTTGGCGGTTTCAGGCCTTGGGCAGAATCCTTCAGTCTATATTCCCTAAATGGGGTGGGGGGCGTGAAGCTGTGACCCACGCCCCCCCCTGCAGTGGCGATCCCAGGGTTCCCCGTCAAAGGGGTTGTTTTGAGGGGAGGCATTGGCCATACGCCGAGACGTTGTCATTGCTCTTCCCTGCATCGGTAGCAAAATGGCGGGTGGGCTCTCTCTGCTTGAACAGACGTTCTCCAGAGCCAGCCCAATCCCCACATATCCTGGATAACCCTGATGTTCCCCAGATCCCCAGCCGGGGACTGGGAGGGATAAACGCCCAAAGCCTAAGCCAAGGTCTCCCTACATCTGAAATTTTTAATAAAGTTGTGTCCAAATTTTAATCCTATAACATGTTGTCTTGAGGCATTATTCCACGCGGGTGTCGCCCGGGGTCAGGAGGTCTCCACCTGTCCGCGCAAAACTGAATCTTGCTGAGCTGTGGGAGCAAAGATCTGGCACTTTGGCTTGAAACGCTTTCGCCCTTCCTGAATAAAGTTCCCTTTATAACTTTTTACAGTATCATTGCTATGTTCGTGTAGTGATACTCCAGCGTCAATATGCGTGTGTCATTCCTTTCCCACTTTGATAGGTTATCAGATTGGGCAGTTGGGAGACTCTCACCACAGGGGACTCAATCTGTTTATTACAGAGATAAATGCAGCAGTTGAACGGAGGGCGAGGTGAATGAATCATGAAAGACAACATAGAGAGCATAGGTCAGTGGATGGACTTTCCCTAGAAAGGTTTACACTACAAACTTATATTGGTTTTATATCAGATCAGCTTTCAGAGCTCCCTCTGAAGAATTGTGGGATTTGTAGTTTATTGGCAATGCTAAGGAATTTCTGTGCAAAGGAAGATCCCTATACCACAATCCGATTTCACTGAACTACTGTTTCCAGTATTCTCTGGAAAGAAAGAAAGAAAGAAAGAAAGAGAGAGAGAGAGAGAGAGAGAGAGAGAGAAAGGAAGGAAGGAAGGAAAGAAGGAAGGAAGGAAGGAAGGAAGGTACCCTGTTTTAGGTCTGCATTATAGATACCGTACATAGGGGGACGTGGGTGGTGCTGTGGGTTAAACCACAGAGCCTAGGACTTGCCGATCGGAAGGTTGCCGGTTCAGATCCCTGCGACTAAGCGGCTTAGTCATGCTGGCCACATGACCCGGAAGCTGTACGCCGGCGCCCTCAGCCAATAAAGCGAGATGAGTGCCGCAACCCCAGAGTCGGCCACGACTGGACCTAATGGTCAGGGGTCCCTTTACCTTTACTTACACAGGGAAATAGCACACACGTCAAGTCTAGCGTGCAATTCCTCTATTTACAAGATTCTTTCCCTCTTGTTGCAACCTAAGTTGGAGCCACTGTGTTGCACATTAAAATTGGCAGGACCTGCTTTGTGTAACTTCACAAAGAAAAGGGGAATCATTTGGCTACGGTCAAGTCGATTCAACCTATTTTCCTCCTTGCAGACCTGGGAGAAAATTATATGTTACTGTGGATTAGAATTACAGACAAAGCCGAGAGACAGTCCTTGATGTTTAAATCAGAAGCACTTGACATTTGATATTTAAAGCCGTGGCAATATTGGCCAGTAGTACACAGAGCAATGTCTGTGTGGGGCTCTGGCTACTCACAGACCTGCAGCTTAAAGTTTCATATGGCACCATCTAGCTTCTCCTTGTGGGAGGGGGACATCTGCATCCTAATGGAGAAATCCTATTGCTTATTTTGTGGTTTTTAAAAATTAGAATGGCCCACTAAGTATAGGCCACTAGCTTCAATTTCTCTATTGCTGGTTTTAACAGTGATGCAGCTTCCCACATGAAACTCGGGAGACGTTTGCAAAATTGGAAAGTTCATGGTCTCATTAAAAAGAAAAAGGCATGTGCCATTGCAAATTGCTGCTTTGAAAGTGCCCGCAATTACAAATTACAACGGAGAAATGGATTGGTAATAGAGTTAAATACATAATACACTGAAAAGCTGTTACAAACATATATTTTGGGAAGTTGTCTCTCTGCATTTGGACACCTCTCCAGATATTGTAACAAAATTTTGTCCGGTGGTTCCTGAGATCAGGGAACAGGTTTGGGCCCTTGGCTGGGTCTATACTAATAAAAAAAACACTATAGGGACAAACACTATAAAAACTCTCAATGCAAAATCCCATTGGTGATGGATCACTGCTCTGCAGCGCCATCTGGTGTCACATGTTCATAAGCTGAGTCCTTTGTCTGGATACAGTTGGGTGCCATTTTGAATCAAGGTTGTAGACCAGGGGTCAGCAAACTTTTTCAGCAGGGGTGCGGTCCACTGTCCCTCAGACCTTGTGGGGGGCCGGACTATATTTTTTTTGGGGGGGTGAACAAATTCCTATGGCCCCCAAATAACCCAGAGATGCATTTTAAATAAGAGGACACATTCTACTCATGTAAAAACATGCTGATTCCCAGACCATCTGCGGGCCAGACTTAGAAGGCGATTGGGCCGGATCCGGTCCCTGGGCTTTAGTTTGCCTACCTATATTGTAGACTGAGCCTTTCAAAACTACACTGATTTTTGTTGGTTTGTTTGTTTCTTAGCATTCCCAGCCAGTGCTAGGTATGAAACTGCTAGTAACCAATAAAGCTGTAGTTGATTTTTATATTGTTTTGTTATCCACGTGAAAATATGTGTGGAAGCGCTGGCTTATGGTGGCTCCACAGTGTGTATGTGCAGGGAAAAACGTCACACTTGACATTGCATGAGATGAGCAGCAGTTTCGTGCTCTGTCCCTTTCAAGGCATGGTCCCCGGCACTCATGTCACAGAAAAGAAAATATAGGTGAAAGTCTGTAATGTGCAAGTGGGTCAAAAATATAGCCTAAGGAGCGTAAAACTGTTGAGAATTAACAGAAGATGAAAGTTTTCTCACTGAAAGACTCCATAGGATTTAGGGTTTAGCTGAGGCGCTCTGTAAAAGCAGGGAATTAGACAACCTTAAATTACATTTGATTGCTTCCAGGGTTTAAAGCCGTTTGGCAAGCACACAAAACTAAGCTCCTCAAATGGTAAATTCCTGAGAGAAACAATCCCTGCTATTTCTGAGTTCCTCATGCAGCCCTTTAATTTTATTTTTAGCTTTGTTTTATATCAAGGAACGATGAGACGTCACTGGCCATGTTTCAAAATTTGCACATCCTCTAAAAATAATAAATCACACAATTTAATAAAGGGCTCTCCAGTCCTTCCATTGGGGCAGTGAGGGAGAATCAGAGGGAGGAAAAGATATTTTAGAAGCATCAAAGTGTAACCCGCAAGGGAAATTCAGAAGAACAAAGCGAAGGAGCCAAACAGAAAAGCTTATTTATTTGCAAAATAATCATGTTCAGTCTTCTGGAGGTTGTAAGCCAACTATTGTTTTTATGGCCTTCAGATCTTTGTTTTGAATGCTGGCCTTACCTCTTCCAGTAGAGAGGATTTTAATTTTATTTTAATCAGTTAAATGACACATCCAAACCCAATGTAAATGCCTCTGTCAGAAGACACACAAAGACTGTTATCCCCCAATCTGTCTGGCAAAAACGGACAAACCCTGCTTTTAAAAAACGATAGAGCGGTTATTTCATAATTGCAAGTAGACTATTTTAGAGCACAGTAAAATGGGATTAATCCCCCCCCCCCCCGGTTAACGTAATAGCAAACAAATACGGGTTAGATTAGATTAGAATTTTGTTTTTATGAAAGGATACTCTATTGACAGATCAAGGCCCAGTTCCAGTGTGATGCTGTCTGTCTGGAAACTATGGTTTGCAAATCAGGAGGCAGTCTTAGGAATGCCTGCTTGCACATCTACTAAGCCATAGTTGAGGCCATCCGTGGAGGGGAAGGGGAATTCATGCCGCTGAGCAGAGGACTGAAGGGTCAAAACATGTATTGCGTGTCGAGGTCCCCAAGCCACCCCCCAAATAACTCACAACGCACACTTAATTTTTGTTTAAGGTTTTTGGCATAATTTTGGCCACAACTTTATTTAAATACAAAACCGTGAGTGGTTGTTTAGGCATTGGTTAAGACTATCTGTCCCCCCGCCTGGGGACAGAACTGACTTCCGGGCACCACCGAAAGACAGTGCGGGGGGAAAGCAAGTCGGAGAGAAATGGAGCTGAGTCACAGACCCTCAATTCTCATCCGCATGCTCCCCGAAGGCTTGCCGGCCCTAGTCCCATTCCAGGGATTGGACGAAAAGATGGCAAGCCCCAGGATTCCTTTAACGGAATTCCCTTTCCGCAGCAACCATGGAGGGGCAGGCCCAGCCTATCCTAACCCTTCCTCCACCAATTTATAACCAATGCCTAACCGCAACCTTACAAGTTGTGACGATTTGCTACGCAGTAGGCAAAAACCAAATGGCCCAGCCAATCAGCCAGATGGACAAAATTCCTACCAGGCCCCTGCCCCAACGGCAGACGACCCCATGACAGGCATAGCAAGGTCAATGCAACAACCCCTTACTCAAGGGCGGGTGGGCGGGTGATCCGTTGCACGCAGCAAAGAGAAAGCTCCAGGCTGTGTGCAGAGTATTTAAACATTTTACCCTCCCACCAAAATTGCAACATAACGTTTACCCCAGCAACCCAGTGAACCAATCACTGCCCCAGGCCATCTTTAGAGACCCTGCCTGGTAACAGAGGGGTGGCTCAGCAGACCCCACCGCAACACGTGCTCTCCATGAAGGAGAACACGCTTTCCCAAGGCTCTTCCCCGTTTTACTTGCCAGCGTTGTATCTTCTCTAGTCTCACGGCTAGAATCCTAAGCTCACTCACAGGTGGGAAGTCAGCTACGTTGAACTCGGGAAAAGCTGAAAGTGATTACTGTATATGCGTTGTTTCAAAAGGACTTTCACAATATCATGTGTTTTTAAATGCCAGTTCTTTTCATCAGACTGCATGCTGGAAATAAGATTTAGATCTGGGGTAGGCAACCTAAATACGTGACGTGGGTGGCGCTGTGGGTTAAACCACTGAGCCTAGGACTTGCCGATCAGAAGGTCAATGGTTCGAATCCTCGCGATGGGGTGAGCTCCCGTTGCTCAGTCCCTGCTCCTGCCAACCCAGCAGTTCGAAAGCACGTCAAAGTGCAAGTAGATAAAAAGGTACCACTCCAGCGGGAAGGTAAACGGCGTTTCTGTGCGCTGCTCTGGTTCGCCAGAAGCGGCTTAGTCATGCCGGCCACATGACCCGGAAGCTGTACACCGGCTCCCTCGGCCAATAAAGCGAGATGAGCGCCACAACCCCAGAGTCGGCCACGACTGGACCTATGGTCAGAGGTCCCTTTACCTTTACCTTTAGATAACCTAAGGGCCAGGGGCTGGCTGCGGCCCAATCGCCTTCTCAACCCAGCCCGCGGATGGTTCGAGAATCAGCGTGTTTTTACATGAGTAGAATGTGTTCTTTTATTTAAAATGCATCTCTCAGTTATTTGTGGGGCATAGGAATTCGTTCATCCCCCCTGCCCCCCAAATATAGTCCAGCCCCCCCACAAGGTCTGAGGGACGATGGACCGGCCCACAGCTGAAAAAGGTTGCTGACCCCTGATTTAGAAGGTGTATACAACACATGTAACTCCTGTAACAAGCAGCACATGCAGGAAATTAGTTTACTGTACTCTTCTGGCGCTCCTAATTAGCTTTTATGATCCCTCTTTTTCTTCTTTATTACTTGGATGCTTCTGCTTAAGAGCGTGCCATTTCTTGCCCTGGGCACTGTGGTTCCCTGCATGTTGAGGTTGTGGCAGAGGCATTGCCTTTGCTTTCCAGGAGGCATAACGGCCATCTCCCAAGTCGGCCAGCTGTCTAGTTGCACTCAGTGGCAAGTCTGCTTATCTGCACTGAGGCTTACTGAAGCTGCTGCGGACTTTGTCCTATCCTGTACAGTTTGGCGTACCCAACAAAAGTAATGCCTGCAGCTAGTGTTTATAGCACAGGGGCTGCTGGAATGGTGTCTGTGGGTGCAAGGGTCCCCGTGAGCTCTTCTCCTGGCACCCATGAAGCCTCTGGCGCACCCTCTTCCATCACTGCCCCTTGGTCACGAGGAGCCTCGGGTGGCTACTGTTTTCTCCCTTTAAAAGTACATAGAGCTAAGTTGGAAGAAGGATGCTTTCCCACTGCCTCTTTCCCATTGAGGTGCTTTTCAAGGTTCATATTACCGTATTTTTTGCTCTATAAGACTCACTTTTTCCCTCCTAAAAAGTAAGTGGAAATGTGTGTGCGTCTTATAGGGTGAATGCAGGCTGCGCAGCTATCCCAGAAGCCAGAACAGCAAGAGGGATTGCTGCTTTCACTGCGCAGTGATCCCTCGCTGTTCTGGCTTCTGAGATTCAGAATATTTTTTTCTTGTTTTCCTCTCAAAAAACTAGGTGCGTCTTGTGGTCTGGTGCGTCTTATAGAGCGAAAAATACGGTTAGTTTTGGTGTGTTTGCTCATTCTTATTTTACCTTTGGAAGTGAGAGCTGGACCATAAAGAAGGCTGATCGCTAAAGAATTGATGCTTTTGAATTATGGTGCTGGAGGAGACTCTTGAGAGTCCCATGGACTGCAAGAAGATCAAACCTCTCCATTCTTAAGGAAATCAGCCCTGAGTGCTCACTGGAAGGACAGATCATGAAGCTGAGGCTCCAATACTTTGGCCACCTCATGAGAAGAGAAGACTCCCTGGAAAAGACCCTGATATTGGGAAAGATGGAGGGCACAAGGAGAAGGGGATGATAGAGGACGAGATGGTTGGACAGTGTTCTTGAAGCTATGAACATGAGTTTGACCAAACTGCGGGAGGCAGTGGAAGACAGGAGTGCCTGGCGTGCTCTGGTCCAGGGGGTCACGAAGAGTCGGACACGACTAAACGACTAAACAACAACATTTTATCTTTGGAAAAATGAAGTTTGTGTGCACATTCATTCAGTGTGTGTGTGGCATGCTGATGGGGCAAGGAGACGGCACCCATGGCACTTGCTCAAAAATCAGAAAAACAAAATGTTCCCATGGGCCAAGAAAGGTTGATGATCTTTGGTTTAGCTGCTTGGAAGGAGAGGAGGAAGGAGTCGTTTCTGTTTCCTGCATCCTTCAACAGGGTTCAAGTTATGGTAGCTGATACTTAGGTATTGTTACCAAAGATGGGTGCCACCCCCACTCTCTGCTGAGCAGTAGCAAGATTCCAGCGGGTTCTGGGCACTCACCAGGGGCTGCGCTCCTTTGGAGAATTGAAGGTGCGGCAGAGATAGTCGTAGCTTTAAGAAATGTGCTTTATTCACATACTTACACCTGAGTTTAGATGGAGAGAGTCCAGATCTTACAGCATGGTCCTCTCAAGAGGGGCTTCTTCCCCATGGCAGTGCAGCACTGGAGTCAAAAGCAGCTTTCCCAGCCAGCCTTCAGCCAACCTGCCCAAGATGGATCTCTCTCTTTGTCCTCTCCCTCTTCTTCCCAGCATGCCTTTCTGTAAATACTTTCTTCTCCTGTCCCCTCAAGCACACACCTCATCACCATGGCACCCTCTGTCTGCCCAGACCCAAGAATTCCTCTTGGATGGGCTGTCAACACTTTTTCTCAGGTTCATGCCTCTGTCGCAGGTGAGGCCCTCACTAGACAGGAAGCTTAGCCTGTGCTTTTCCACTGGCCTCCAACCTTCCATTCAATGCTCCAAATAATCAAAATCCTACCACTAGGGTTTGAGCCCCACCCAAAAAAACTATAACAGTATGAGCATCAGAATAGTTGGGGTCTTATGCGCTGCTCTCCCTGTGGCAAAGTTAAATAAGGCACCGTTGTCATTCCAGAAGGAAGAACTCTTGGGGGCTTTCTGGTATTGTTTAAGTACAAATGGCAACCATTTTAGGTGTGTCCGAATGGCATGCAATAGTCAACACGTGGGTCCTTTTGGACCCGGAAGAAGGCAATACGAGGGCGTGGGGCAACGTAACGGGGGGGGGGTCATGCTTATCCATGTTCTGCTGACACGTACTGGGGGCAGGAATGGAGCCCCTGTGCTAAATGGGCAGTGCCTGTATAATATGGGAGAAATCCCTCGTTAGCTGACAGAGAAGCACATCACCACCAGCCCTAGGCAAAATGTGTTGGAAGAACTCAAGGATTAGTAATATTCATCTGCTGCAGACAGCCTTACAAAAAGCCACCCCATTTCATCTGAACTTCAGTGTATCCCCCCCAAACCCCCCAAACATTCTTTTTCTCTTTATTATATTAACTGCTTGAGTCATAGTTAACTCCTTTGCCTGTTTTTGCTATGAAGAAATTTATTAGTACTGGATTAAAAAGTCATACTTTCAGTTCTTTAACTGATGCAATCTGCATTACCGGGTGTGTGTAGGAGACCGTAGGTTTTTTTAAACCTGCATTTCCATGGAAACAAAGATCCAAGAAGAATAAAAATGATGGGAACTGTGTGGCAGGGAGTGTAACTGCTTCTAGACTGTTGCTACTTTTTGAGAGGCTTAATTGCATCCAGGGAAAGTCATGTTGTTCAATTAAAGATTCGGTGATTCTAAGTGGATTTGCTGCTGTTGCACAACAAACCTGCTTCCAGCCCCCGCTTTTTGCAGGAAGGAAAGTGATGAGGAAATGCCCTTGAAAGTGTGGGATAAGAATTGTTTGATGTGACATCATATAACCTCGGGCTCAATTGCCAGTTGAACAAGTTACTTAGGTATGGATGGGGGGAAAAAAACACCAAATCCCACTTCATACATTATCAGGCTTAAGAACCCTCCTAGCATTGTGAAAAATGTGTGAGTAATTTTATGTTTCCATGTTGAAACATGACACAGACAATATATTATCTTTGTCAGAAAGCCTTTGTTTGTTTTCCCAGTGTCAAATGAGTGAGTTACTGTGTTGACTATTGTGAATTTCTTAGGCGCCTTTGCCAAACTTCCCACCTTATTCAAAATATATTTCCAACTGATGGCTTTCTTTCTATTCTTCCCTTACCCGTTGATGCAAAGCTCAGTGACATAATTTATCTCTTTCTCATCCATCACTCATGCAACGTTTTCAGCTATGAATGGCTGCTCTTTCGTTGGTGGGCAGATACAGTGGCTTCTTGTAAGAAGAGCTTCTGTTCTGGACGATGGTGTGCCATTGGTACCACCAGATACGGGGCTACGAAACCTTACAAGCCTGGTCCCTGAAAGCTACGGAAGACAATAGGCTTGTGTTAGCCGATTGCAGTTATCCAGTAAGGAAGCCCAGTTGTTGCTTTTAAGTCTACACCTCCTTTTTATGAATGAGTTTGAGGATCTCTTCTGCAGTCGGTACAGCATTGGCAGGTGGCTATGCCTGCCTCTCCCATTAGCTGGTTGATAGTGGATGAACGCAAATGACCATGTGACAACTGATGATATGAAGTACTTGCAGACTGGGGGATAATGTTTGCACCTGCCAGGTGTGTGAAGGCTGCTTGCCTTCACACATTGGGACAAACACTGTTCTTCCCAGTTCAATGGGGATTCTTCTCTCCCTTGGCACTTACTGACTCCTTCCCCTTGAATGCATTTGTACCAGGCCAGGATGCAAGTATCTTCATTTTGTACCCAGAGAGAGCTGCTTTGATTTCCTTAATTTAGGGGTTCTCATTGTGTCAAAATTTCAGAACTGTCCGTTTGACCAGGATGAAACAAACAAGTATATTGTGCCGAGAATGACTTTGGGTCTCTGTGGATTCTCTGGTACATTCCAGGTACACCCTGTTCCTTGGTGGGTTGAAGCCAGCTGGCAAAGTTTGAATGAACTTGTCTTTCTTCAACTTGGCAGACTGGGCTTACGGTTGAGTTTAGGAGGTGAGGCCAAGGCAATCTGAGGCAGCAGTGAGAGCTAGTTGCTCTGATTAGTGAGCAGCGTGGAGGAATCCTGACCCAGAAGCCTTTAAAGGGGCCAAAAGGTTACCCACCTGATCTGCTGTGGCTTACTAGAATAAATATTAGGCTTCCTTGTTGGTGCAACTGGTCTCCCTGCATTTCTCACCATTTCACCCAGTTGACTGGTGGCACACAGGTGGAATTTCTGATCCTCCTTAAGTTGCCAGTTGGAGACTCACTGTGGATTTGAGTTCTGGACTCTACACTGTGCCTCTTCTGTGGATGATTATTCTCTAAGGCTGTCGATATAATTGCAGAATTATTATTTTTTTAAAGTCAACCTTTATAGCCCTTGGAGGAGTGTAATCTATTGGACAGCCAGCAATAGCTGCCTCCTATTTTTAGATCAGTTGCACTGCATGTCCTGTAAAAACCACAGAGGATATCCAATCAGTTCTGCTTTCTACACCAGCCATGGATGGCAGGTTGCCTTGCGCCGTTTAGATAAACGATCTCTCCTTCCCTATGCAGTGCTATAAATCCTCGCTTGGTGCTTACGCTTCTTTACAAGCCTTGTGTTTTCATGAGTCAGCACAGGCGTTGGGCTAAAGTCAATGCAAACTCTCATTTCTGTCCCTCTGCTTCTCTTTCTACAGCATTTTAGGGCATGTGGCTCTATCTGCGTGCACCCATTATAAGAAAAGGTTGCCAGAATCAATTTGGTTTTTATTAGGCAACTTTGTAGATGGGTTTAATTATACAGAGCAGCCTATTCGAGTAATGACAAATGGATGCAATAACAGCTGTTGTTGTCATTAATAGTATTTTATAAATTCAGGAATCACCTTTCACGTGAGTTTTAGGGTGATTTACAAACCTAGCATAAAAACATCTAAAAATAATTTTCTAAAATAGGAGAAAAACAACCAAAGTTGGGTTTACAAATCATACAAAAGGAACATCTATGGCAGAAATCTTTTCACCCAGCTGGAAAAGCTAATTGAATTAAAAAATGTTTTTGGCTGTTTCCACTGGCTGGAGCCAGTGTGGTGTAGTGGTTAAGAGCGGTAGTCTCATAATCTGGGGAACCAGGTTCGCGTCTCCGCTCCTCCACATGCAGCTGCTGGGTGACCTTGTGCTAGTCACACTTCTTTGAAGTCTCTCAGCCCCACTCACCTCACAGAGTGTTTGTTGTGGGGGAGGAAGGGAAAGGAGATTGTTAGCCGCTTTGAGACTCCTTAAGGGGAGTGAAAGGCGGGATATCAAGTCCAAACTCTTCTTCTTCTTCCGGAAAGTACAGATTTTGAGCACCTGTCTTATCTCAGCAGAGATGCTGTTCCACGAAACAGGGGAAGCCCTTCTCCAAATTACTGTGGCGTGAGCTTTTGGTATGTTAGGAACTTGAAGGAGAAACTCCCTTGCAGGTTGTAGTGCCTTTCTGAGTATTTAAGGCATAAGGCAGTCTCTCAAGCAACTCGATTCTGTAGCACCTCATATGTTAGCACCAAAATATTGAACTGCAGATGGGGAGCCCATGCAGATCCCACAAACAAGGTGTTGTATGCTTGTGCCAGTCTGTCTCCATAAGCAGCCTAGCTGCTGTTCTGCCAGTGCACCTGTAGCCTCTGGACTAACCTCAAGAGTAGCCACACAAAGAGCCCATTACAGTAATCCAGTGCTGAGGCTACCAGTGCATGTGGTCAAACTATCAAGATCCAGGAATAACCTAGCTGTCTTAAAAGCCAAAGCTGCTAAACAGTACCCCAGCCGCTGAGGACAACTGTGTCCACGGTGATGGATCTAGAAGCAGCCTCAGACTAAGTACCTTCTCCTCCAGGGTGTCCTGAGTCTATTGCAGATGTCATGGAAAGGAAGGAAAGTGAGAGGCTATCAGGAAGCTGGAAGTGGGCGACCACAGGGAAGGTCACAGTAGGCTGCGGAATGAGAAGATGGGATCCCAAGAAAAATTCAACCCAGCAGGCTGAGAGGAGGCCCAGATCCCAGGGACATGCCTTGAGGGCTGCCACAAAAGTATTCAGCCCCACGATGCTGAATACTCCAAGCCCAGTGTCACCCACCAAGGAGCTGCCTCTGCTGCCCTCCCGTTAGCCAAGAGGGCTCCCCTCCTAGGGAGATATCTGGGGCAAAGCTGGTCTAACTCCATCCCTCATCTCCAATTGTCCCTGGGTTCGCCACCACTGCGCCAGAGATGGCCTTCAGCAGCATCCCCAGTCTGTCTCTTATGCCCAGGCCCTCAATACCAAGCCAGGTGGAGAAGTTTCCTGGTATGTAAGAGAAGATTTATGGACCGCCATGTCTGTGATTCTGTGGACCGTATGATGTGCTTTTGTGAACCATTACCCCTAGAAGTGGTGGTTAGCAGTAGCTGGAGTGACTCTTCAAAAGACAAGGATCTTTTGCGAATACTTGGAATTAGCAAAGTTGACTGATTTGATAAGACAAAACCCAAAAAATATAATCCAGAAACAATGGAAATCTCTAAATAATTCTTTATGTAGACAAGGATTAAATGTAAGGTATTGGTTGTGTTTAGAATAGACTTATGAAAGATTTAGAAAACATACTGATTAGAATATTTGTGTGAGATTGTATGGGGAAAATATGAAACAACAGATACAATCTTGCTTAAAATGTATATAGGAAGTGCAGTGTAAGCAATGGAAGTCAATCAATGAAATTTTATTATTATTTTCATATCGTGATATTTGTAGAATAAATTTGGAAGAAATTCTTCCAACTTTTCTTCTTTTTTCTTTATTTTTTCTTCTTCTTTTTTCTTATCTTATTTTTCTCTCTTTTTTTCCTTTTTATGTATATGTGCTTATTTGAAGCGTACGTATTTGCAGTGTTTTGCTTATATTTTGTAACAATTATGTTAAATATTTTTTTAAAAAAAAATGAAAAAAACCAAAAGACAAGGATCAGGCAAATTTGTAGGGAGTGGATATATTTTGATTAACTGTGAGAGCAAAACGGAGCTTCTAGGTTCAAAACGGTAGACCTATTAATACCTGACTTTCAGGATAAATCACAGGGCTTGTTTTGCCCTCTGCACGTCTTGCTTGTGAACTTCCCAGAAGCACCTGGTTAGCCAAGGCTGACAAAGAAACGCTTCACCACTTTGCTTCTCTGGCTGATCTAGCAAGGCAGCTCTTCAAACAAACTTAGCAGTCAAGGAGCTGCCTTTCAGATGTAAATAAAGCAACTCCCACCTCACGCTGTTGGTTCTTGCATGCAGCATTCTGGTATGGTAGTTGGGTTCTCAGCCAAGAACCTGCTTGCGCACGCTGTATCAGAGCAGTCAAAGTCAGCTGTGTCCAGGGAAGTAGCGTAAGCTCTTGCAGATCATTCTTTTGCAAGATAGATGGGGATTTAATGACTGCGTGGGACTGCACCGTTGTAAATGGCTGACTAGCATGCCATATGAGGGTTTTCAAACTTTCAGGAGCTACTTTTACTTGGTTTTAAAATGACTTCTTTTGCTGTTTTTTCTCTTCCAGCATCAAGCTTTTGGCTGTGCAGGAGCTGGTGGACAGAGATGCACTGGAAAAGGTATTTTCACCTGTTTGTAGAGCTTGCACACATCTTTTCAAGCACAACTCTTCTTTTAGTTAAAGGATTCCCTGTTTACTGTGATTCATATAGTATAGATCCCCTTCACTTCATACTACATATTGCACCAGATATAATGCTAGTTGAGCATGGTAAGGATGGACTGCAGTGATCTTTGGGCTTGTGTGGCCGCACCTCCTCCCACTTCTCTTTTGTGCAACTGTGAGAAGGAGTGTGGACATTTCCTTTTCTGTTTTAGATTTGCAGCAACTTGCGATGTTGTCTGGACCTGAGCAAACTAACCAGTTTTAACTGTGGTTAGTGAAAACCTGCCAACTTGAAACTATAGTTTATGAAGCTGGCTTGTTTTAACAGACCATGGTTAAGATTAGCCACAGTTTAAGTTTCAGATAACATGTTACATTCATAGAATTGTAGAGTTGGAAGGGACCACGAGGGTCATCTAGTCCAACCCCCTCTAATGCCCAACGTGGGGCTCGAATCCATGAACCTGAGATTAAGAGTCTCAGGCTCTACCGACTGAGCTATCCCAGCTGTTAAACTGTAGTTAATCTAAATTTCTAATCTCCTTCTGATAGCTGTGCCAGATGGGAGGAGACAGTGCACAACCTCAAGGCTTGTTGAGACTTATTGTTGTAGTGCTAAACCATGGTTTAGCATGACACCTGAATGCAGTCAGTGCCAGAGGAAATTTGGTTCATTCTTATGCCCCGTCCGAGTATACCTGAAGGAGCATCTCCACCCCCATCGTTCTGCCCAGACACTGAGGTCCAGCTCCTAGGGCCTTCTGGTTCCCTCGTTGCGAGAAGCCAAGTTACAGGGAACCAGGCAGAGGGCCTTCTCGGTAGTGGCACCCGCCCTGTGGAACACACTCCCACCAGACGTCAAAGAGAAAAACAACTACCAGACTTTTAGAAGACATCTGAAGGCAGCCCTGTTTAGGGAAGTTTTTAATGTGTGATAAACTATTGTATTTTAATATTCTGTTGGAAGCCGCCCAGAGTGGCTGGGGGAACCCAGCCAGATGGGCGGGGTAAAGGTAAAGGGACCCCTGACCGTTAGGTCCAGTCGCAGACGACTCTGGGGTTGCGGCACTCCTTTCGCTTTATTGGCTGAGGGAGCTGGCGTACAGCTTCCAGGTCACGTGGCCAGCACTAAGCCGCTTCTGGCGAACCAGAGCAGTGCACAGAAACACCGTTTACCTTCCTGCAGGAGTGGTACCTATTTATCTACTTGCACTTTGACGTGCTTTCAAACTGCTAGGTTGGCATGAGCAGGGACCGAGCAACAGGAGCTCACCCCGCCGCGGGGATTCAAACCGCCGACCTTCTGATCAGCAAGTCCTAAGCTGTGTGGTTTAACCCACAGTATAAATAATAAATTATTATTATTATTATTATTATTATTATTATTATTATTATTTGCTCTAAGGCAGCGTGTAAAAGAGTAAGAGTCTTCTGCTCTTCTTTCTCTTAACATTCTCTGGTCTGCAATTATTAACTACATGACTATGTACTGTTCATACAAGTTTTCAACATGCTCACAGAATCTTTGACAATGCTGCACAGCAAACCACTTTTGAAAGTGAGCTGAGTTTCAGAGCTTGCGATATGACTGTGTTTGTGTGTTTGAGAGAGAGACAGAAGCAGACGGACAGAGGGAGAAACTCTCATGTCTTTTCAGATGGGGGGGGGGGCTTTAAAAAATCCCCACTGGGTGCATGTAACCCTTTGGGCATGCCTAAAGCAATTCTTTGGATCCCTCTTCAGATGCTACAGTACAAAAACTAGCTTTTCTCGAAGCTTCCTGATTTCTGCAGCTTTCCGCATTGTTGTGGGAAATGTCCCACAATTGCCTTGGGTCATAGGATGCCATCCAGCCAGTCCTACTCTTTTATAGCAGACCACCCTCCATTTTCATGTTTTCTTTTAGAAGTGTCTATCTATCAACATAGCATGGCAAGTGACCATCTCAGTCCTCATTAGGCCGTGGCTGCTGTTGTTTAGAGGGCACGGAGGGTGGTTCCTCATGGGTTTTCGGTTGACAAAATGTTCTATTTCTGCAAACATGGTTGTTCCTCTGAGCATACTGCTATCTCCCTTTCTCCCTCCCCACCTTTGTGGCCTCTTTTTTTGGATGCCTTCCTGTTCACCCCCTGAGTTCACTAGAAGAAGGAGTGGCATGAAAATGTATATTCGTTTATATACGAACTGGGGTGTGCGCGCGCGTCTTTTGCAAAGTTTCGAAAACTTATTTTCTATCGTTTGGCTGGCTTTCTGTCCTTCGCCTAACAAAATATAGACATATGAAAACAAGTTTAGGATGGATGGATTTCGCAGCTTCCTCGCTCTGAGAGAACATTTCTTTCTCCCATATCTGGCATGGAACATAACAGATTCGACAAATGCGCTCTCAATGGCTTTCTTGTCTCCCCGGCACATCAACTTCCATACATTTCAGCCAGATCAGTGTTTCATCGTGATTAAACCCATTGTTATCTTTGTTAGTCCTAAATCACTTTCACAGCAAAGCAGACTGTTCATGGGACGACTGTTAAGCAGAAGAGAGAGCTATACCCTGCCCAAATAACACTCCTCCTTTCTACGGACTCAAAAGTGCCAAAGCCCTGGCAGTTCTTTGAGAGAACATGTAACTTTTTCTGCACACGCAGCATGCTTGTGTGTAACGTATATATTCATGCACAGATAAATAACTTTGGGAAGGGGAACTGGTGCATAGCAAGGCTTTATTGCCACAATAATTGATTTTTTTGCGGCTTTTCTTTAAAACTTAAATGCACTGTACTTTTCTGTGTATAAGACGTCCCCCCATGAAATTTCAGAAAATGGGGGGAGATGGCACAAAGTTGTTGAGCTTCTTTTGGGAAGGATTGCCCAGAGTTTTTGAGCTTTGGGGAGGGGGGTGCCCAAAATTTCTCACCTGCACGTGTCGACCAATCAACATCAACCATTGACGCAGCAACCAATGACACGCACCATAGCCACTGACAGCCGCAGCAGCAACCAATCAAACGTCCACCTTATGCACTACCCATGTATAAGACGATCCCCACTTTTTAGCATGATTTTAAAAGATAATAACATAGTTTTATACACGGAAAAGTATGGTAGGTATGAGTTAGCATCTCCTAGCCACAGAAACCATCTCCATTCAACCCCACCTCTGCTTTTAAGTGCTTTCCCCCCACCCCCCAAGTGATCACTGTCTTCTCTTTGGTCTTCCAACGACTCCTTTTTCTAAGAGTTCATCAAGGCTAAATGGAATCAGAGCCAGCTGGAGCTATCGACTCACATAGCCAAATCTGGACTTGGACTGCATACACTCTATACTTTTAAAGCACATCTGAAGCATACTCTTTCCCTCAAAGAATTCTGGGCACTGCAGTTTTCCCTTCACAGAGTTACAGTGAACCAGCAACCCTCTGCAAAGTACAGTGCCCATAATTCGTTAAGGGAAGCAATGTGCTTCCAGTGTTATTTAAAGGAATAATGCATACACAGCCTTGGAAAGTATGTCCTCCCAGTTCATCGCCCCTGAGGTCAGTGGCTGGAACTGACAACGACATTTGCAGAAGCAAACAGGCAGAAGAAGCCAATAGTTCTAACTGCTTTGGAGAGCCGTTGCCTGTCTGTCAGCCAGTTGTCCCAGCAGCACCTTTTACAGGAGCCTGACAATTTTTCTCCTTTGTTGTGGGTGTTTCTGACCAAGCGGGTTTCACCGAGCGAGGCTGAATCATGTGTCTCAGGCTTAATAAACTGGTGAATGCCAAATGCAAAAAAGCAAGAAAGATATGAAGCGGAATCACAGTTGGCCGGAGAGCTCAAGTTGACTCGTTGCGTTAGGTTTCACTCACCTCACTATGAGGGAAATTATACTGAAACTTTCATTTGTCGGAAGCAATTCTCAGTGATACTTCCAGTCTAGGATTTTCCTTTTTCCAGCCTTGTTTTGTGACCATCTTTCACTCAGGAAGAACAAAATGACTGATTAGGCAGCTTCTCAGTCTTCTTCCTATATCTATTATATTTATAATGCAGACAGGGTATGTCGTGAAGAGAGAGCTTAAGGACAAGCCCAGGTTTGGACCATATGCTAAGCAAAAGCGTGGATTAGCTTGGTGCAGGGTGGAAGTAAAAAGGACCCAGGAAGAGCGAAGAGGAGCCTATACAGTTGCACCCTCCTGGTAAACAATGGTTTGGCTTACTGTGCCATGCCAACCAGAGGAGAAGTACTTTTTGCACGTAATCTTGCAGCGTTGTGTTGCATTGAATGACCTTAAGTTCCAGTCTTATTGTTGTAAACAATAAAAATCTGCCCTTTGCCCCTTATTGGGTATCCAAGAGCCCGTATAGAGTCCTTACGTGGGTTCCCTATTGGTAGGAGAAAATAACTGAGGCCAACCAGAGAATATTGAGAAACAAAGCAGCTAGTAAGCCTGATCTTTACTGATCTGTTGCAACAGGGTGCTCCCCTCACATGCAGGAAAGGAGGAGGACCTCGAACCATGGCGCACAAGGCCTTATATAGGCCTTATATAGACATTTTAAATTCCCTGCCCTGGAGCTCAAGACCACCCCTCCATACATCGTACATATATCACAGAAGGGGTGTAACCCAAGACCACCCCCCAGAAACATCATACCTATATCACAGAAAGGGGTGTAGCTCAAGACCACCCCCCAGATACATCATGCCTACATCACAGAAAGGGTGGTCTACAACAGAAATCTGAGTGCATTGTTTATCTCCTGTCTGGCAGGTTATCTGATAATGCCTTATCTGATTGCCTTTCCTGGTAGTCTTTTCCTGGTAGTCTGTTATCCTTTGAAATGGTGATTACTAAATTCCTGTAATAAGGAAGGTGTTTTTTTTACCTCCTCCCTCCTTTCAGAGAAACATTTGGTCAGCTTGGGAGTCAAAATGGTTTCAGGACTGTCTTCCTGTGCCGCTTCAGACATGTGGTTTATATATTTATGTACGTGTTTGCTTGGTACATTTGTGAACATTTAATATATATCTAAGACCTTAAAATTCTTATTACATTATGAACAAGGGAGAAAATTTTCTTTCCATCCACCTTCCCCATAACATGGAGGGGAAAATTGCACTTCTACAATTTCCTGACTTACTCACCGTTTTTCTAAACTAAAAGGCTCCCAGTATAGTAACCACACAACATAGCTTGTCCCTAGTTCAGCTGAGATCTTAAAGAGTTGAACTTCCAACTTGTTCTTCAGCAGATGACTGGCATTAGCTCTGGAATCCTTCCTCTTGTACCTATCTGAGAAAGAGAGTGAGTTTTCCTGCAGAAATTACAGAACAAATTTTTAAAAATTGCAGTACATGAGAAAAACTTCAAAGTTTGCAAACATTGCAAATGCTCTCATCAGCCTTGTGTAATTCACTTAGCTTGCATGTTCCGTCTAGCCAAGATTAATTGTTTAGTCATCCAGCCAAAACTAACCGAATGAGTACACATTGTCTTTGATTTCTGCAATTTGCTGGTTTATCAAAGTTGAAGCGAATTGAAATTAATTAAACCCAGTTGACCCGAGGAAATTGCATCGTTGCAAATGCCTACATAAATCTCCCACTTTTAATTTAAGGCTTGAACCTCAAGACGTGTACAAGCAAATAAAGAGTAAAGTCAGGTCATATTGACCTTCACTGCACCGGGCATGACAAATGCGAGGATATTATAAGAGGACTGCCATTGTGTGATATCAAGAGAAAACATAGCCATCTCTAGGCTCTTGTGTATCTAGCAGTGAAATATCTTTCTTTAATGACTTTCGATGGTTGATGGCTATAAAATAGCAAAGGCGTTTGACCTGCTTGGGTAAGAACTGGCGAAGAACACTTTGGCATTTGGAATATAGCCAGCCAAGAAAACAAAAGTCTGTGCTTTCCAGCTGACTAGGAAAAAGCCATCTTGGGATGGAGAAAGGACCGTCAGCTTTTTCTTTTCTGAGAACTGCTTTAATAGTCTAGATAGGACTAATCAATATTTTACTCTCCGGATCCAATGGGCTCCATCTCAGACTCAGGTAGCCTGGCTAATAATCAGGGAGGGTGAGATTTGCCATCCAACCAGGGCACCACATTGGCTGCGTCTGGTCTAAGTGGTCAAAGTCTTGTCCATCTAGCCCCTTATTGTCTACCAAGCCTGGCAGTGACCTTCCAAGGTCTTAAAGATTGGATAACGTAAGTCCGTGTGCAGATACTTGCGGATTTATGGATATATGTTTATCATTTGTTGTGTGTTTTCTCTTGTAGTTTGTTTTCAAAGTGCTGTGTGTGTGTGTGTGTGTGTGTTGTAATAATAAGCTGTTAAAAAGCATTTACAAAAAATAAAATAAATAAAATAAAAGAGTTCTTATGGGGCTGTTTTGATTCCCTGCTCCCCGCAGCTTCCTTTGCCATGGTTTTTTTTGGGGGGGGGCTATTCCTACAAACTTTGAGGTTCCCCTGAATCTGCCACTGCTTCTTGTGCAGGAGGGCTGCAGATTTCACTTTGTCACAGCCGACAGTCTCTCCTGAAGTTCAGAAATGTGTCAGCGATGCTGATCTGAACTGCTGCTGAGTGTAACTCCCAAGGATGGCTAGCATTGCCTCACAGAGTTCAGGATGTGCCAATATGTGTCCCTGTATCATTTTCCCAAGATGTTTTATTTTATTTTATTTTTGGAGCCATTAACATTAGCACTGCATGTCAATTATGGGCTAGGACAGAACAGACAACGCGTCTTTGTGGCAAGAACATGTTTTCCTTTGTCGTTGTGTGTAAAGCACACTGTACGTTAATGACAATATTCCAGTAATCCTCAGCTTGGCTTGCATCCTTACTTTCCTCCCACCAACAAAACACAGTTCATGAAACTGCGCTTTTCAGCCTTTCTTTCTCTTTGCTCTGCGGACTCCTGTGCCTCCTTGAAAACCGACTTCTGAAAGTTGGGGGGCCCTTGGGAATGGGGTGGAATATGCTGTGGGAAGGGCTTCAGGTGAAGGCAGGAGTTGGTGGAACCCCCCCCCCTTTACGTGAATAAAGGAGCAATTTAGGATCCAGGTCTATATTTTTTATAAATTGGTAGCTTTTGGTTCATCGTAAACCCGTTCCTGGTGATCAGACTTAAGAAGAGAGGTGGCCTTGGTTTATGTTGCCAGAAATGGGTGCTAGGAGTATAGTGGCTAACATTTATCACTGACTGCTCTTGACTTAACTGAGAATCCCATTTTTGAGCCCAATTGGGAATATTCAATATGCTAGCAGCCAGCTCTTTTAAAAAAGGATTGGGTGGGATGTTCAGAGAGCATGAGCCTGGACTGAAACACTTGGGAGACTAGCCAGCTCCCCTTTCTATGGAGATGGCATTCATTTTTATTTTTATTTTAAATAACAGACTCTTTATTCTTCGGCTTGTTCTGACTGTGGAGGCTGCCTCACAATCCTCAGTCTGGCATTCTACCTGGCATAAAGCAGCGCCGCTTCACTGAAAAACTGTAGAGTTAGAATCATAGAATCATAGAATCATAGAATCCTAGAGTTGGAAGAGACCACAAGGGCCATCGAGTCCAACCCCCTGCCAAGCAGGAAACACCATCAGAGCACTCCTGACATATGGTTGTCAAGCCTCAGCTTAAAGACCTCCAAAGAAGGAGACTCCACCACACTCCTTGGCAGCAAATTCCACTGTCGAACAGCTCTTACTGTCAGGAAGTTCTTCCTAATGTTTAGGTGGAATCTTCTTTCTTGTAGTTTGGATCCATTGCTCCGTGTCCGCTTCTCTGGAGCAGCAGAAAACAATCTTTCTCCCTCCTCTATGTGACATCCTTTTATATACTGGAACATGGCTATCATATCACCCCTTAACCTCCTCTTCTCCAGGCTAAACATGCCCAGCTCCCTTAGCCGTTCCTCATAAGGCATCGTTTCCAGGCCTTTGACCATTTTGGTTGCCCTCCTCTGGACACGTTCCAGTTTGTCAGTGTCCTTCTTGAACTGTGGTGCCCAGAACTGGACACAGTACTCCAGGTGAGGTCTGACCAGAGCAGAATACAGTGGCACTATTACTTCCCTTGATCTAGATGCTATACTCCTATTGATGCAGCCCAGAATTGCATTGGCTTTTTAGCTGCCGCGTCACACTGTTGGCTCATGTCAAGTTTGTGGTCAACCAAGACTCCTAGATCCTTTTCACATGTACTGCTCTCAAGTCAGGTGTCACCCATCTTATATTTGTGCCTCTCATTTTTTTTGCCCAAGTGCAATACTTTACATTTCTCCCTGTTAAAATTCATCTTGTTTGTTTTGGCCCAGTTCTCTAATCTGTCAAGGTCGTTTTGAAGTGTGATCCTGTCCTCTGGGGTGTTAGCCACCCCTCCCAGTTTGGTGTCATCTGCAAATTTGATCAGGATGCCCTTGAGTCCATCATCCAAGTCGTTGATAAAGATGTTGAATAAGACCGGCCCAAGACAGAACCCTGTGGCACCCCACTAGTCACTCTTCTCCAGGATGAAGAGGAACCATTGATGAGCACCCTTTGGGTTTGGTCAGTCAGCCAGTTACAAATCCACTGAGTGGTAGCATAGTCAAGACCGCATTTTACCAGCTTCTTTACAAGTTGCCTTTGCCTTTGCAGTTTTATTCTTCTCCCCAGTGTTTTGAATTTTGTTGAATCGGGGTTTTTTTATTAAAAAACCCCTGATGCTGATGCTCTTGCTGTGAAGCCTTTCTTCCTTCCCCGCTTCCCTGTAGCTTTTTCTGACCCCTACATTTGTTACACCTATTTATTTTCCTTAAACATTTTGGCCTCCTGTTAATTTGCAAATCGAGGCAATTTCAAAGGCTTTCCATTTGCTTTCAATGTGAAGGTCTGCAATGCCGAACGTAAGATAGCAATGCTGACAAAATTGCGCATGGAGAAAAGGGATGTGAGCCAGCTAAAAAATGAAGCTTTTGGGAATATTCTTCACCAGGTAGCCTGGGTTAATCGTCTCCTCTCTCACAAGATATGTCTCCCCATATGTAATGGCTGTTATTTGTTTGCTTGGTCCCTTTATAGTTTTGCATGGAGTTGAACCAGCCAACCCTGCCCAACATCCGGAAATGGAAGGGCCCTCGAGGATGCTGGAAGACAGCGGTTTCGGAGAAGCCCTCAGGCCAGCCTCACAAGGTACCGTATTTTTCTCTCCATAAGGCGCACCGGGCCATAAGGCGCACCTAGTTTTTAGAGGGGGAAATCAAGAAAAAAAATTATTTCCCCCCCAGCCCCAAAGAGCAGCGGACAGGCTGCGCGCAGCCTGTCCACTTCTCCCAGAGCTTCTCAGGGCTGCTGGGGGAAGCCTGGGTTCCCCCCTCCAGCCCCAAAGAGCAAAGGAACCATCCCGCTGGCTGTCTTGACTTGTGTCTTGGTGGCTATCCCTGAAGCCTTCAGAGCACAGCGTGAGTTCCCGCTGAGCTCTGTAGGCTTCGGGTTCCTTTCGCTGAAGCCAGGAGAGTCTTGCTCTCCCGGCTTCAGTGAAGGAACCTGAAGCTTGCGGAGCGCAGCGGGAACTCACGCTGCGCTCCGAAGGCTTAAGGCGGCTATCCCTGAAGCCTGGAGAGCAAGAGGGGTCGGTGCACACTGACCCCTCTCACTCTCCAGGCTTCAGCGAAAGCAACACAAAGCCTCCGGAGCGTGGTGGGAGCCCTCCCTCTGCGCTTCGGAGGCTTCCCGTTGCTATCGCTGAAGCCAAGGAGCCTGCATTCACTCCATAGGATGCACACACATTTCCCCTTAATTTTTGGAGGGGGAAAAGTGCATCCTATAGGACGAAAAATACGGTACTCTAGTCTGCATGCCGTGACCTTTCCACAACATTGTGTTTTTGTCCAGCTGAGGACATAGCTACCCCTTGTTTTGAGCAAAAAGCTTCTACGGTTTTGGTTTTTGCCAAGGACTGCATTTCAGTTCTGCTTTGAGCTGACTACTCATAACTGGCTTTTCTCCTGGACCTTGTTATTGATTTTGGAAATGCTTATTTCTGTCCGACTGCAGCAGATTTTGTGCCAGGAAAGCAAAGAGTTTTATTGTCAATGCATTTTAAATATAAAATGTATTTGTGCGTATAATGTCCCTGCTAGCCACAAACCCAGACAGTATATTTATTTGTTTATGGGTTTTGAAACGACTAATCTAGTGGCTCACTGACAATGTGAAAACAACTATTAAAAAGTACCTGCACATAGGAGGATATCCTGTTGAATTGTAAAGATAACATTATAAATATGTGGTATCCTTTTGGAGATGGTAATAAAAGCATACATTTACACACACAAAAACACCCAGCACCCTGATCAGATGTAAGCACTCTCCTACTCAGAGTAGACCCATTGAGGTTAATAGATACAGCTAATGTAGGTCCATGAATTTAAATGGGTCTACTAAGAGTAGATACCACCCACACTCATACAAATTCAGTTTTGCTGTGTTGTACATGGATTCAGCTATGGATGCCCAAATAATACTTGCATTGGACCACATTGCTGTCAATTCAGTTCATTTTTGGAAACTCATTGTTGAGCGGGCTGAGGGGAAAGGACAGGATCAGAGTGTGAGTGGATCTATATATTTTTGAATATTGGATTGTCTTTCTTTTGCCTCTCAGTGCGTCGAATATTCTGGCTTCCTGTGGGACACAACAGCAGGGGTAGAGTTGAAGGATGCCATCTCCCATGAGAACCCCCCCACGAATGGCAACGGGAGGCAGACGTATCCTCACCCTTATGTTGCACATTTCAAGGTAACGGTGCGCAAAAGTTCTTGAGTGAAAGAAATCGAGAGCATGGGCATGTTCTCAGTTGTATTACATCCTTGAGGGAGGATTCAAGCGCCATGCTTGGTCAAAGGTCTGTCAACGCAAGCCAAGGGCGGCACATCCTGTTTCACCGCTTGAGGCAAAACAGGAAGTGCCGTCACTGCCGCATCCCATACCTGGGTTGCGCCATGGCAGCAGGTTCCATTGAGATCTCACATGATTTCTGTGAGATCTCACAAGATCTCGCCAGAAATCGGTGCCAATGCTGGAGAATGGAGATCGTTATTAGTATACAGTGGCACCTCGGTTTAAGAACAGTCCTGTGTAAGAAAGATTCGTTTTACAAATTCCACAAAACCGGAAATAGTGTCCTGGTTTGAGAACTTTACCTCGGTCTAAGAATGGAATCCGAACGGTGGAAGGGCACCAGCGGGAGGCTTCAGTAGGGAAAGTGCGCCTCGGTTTAAGAACGGTTTCGGTTTAAGAACGGACTTCCGGAACAGATTAAGTTCATAAACCAAGGTACCACTGTATATCATTTCTCATATATATACAAACAGAACAACCATTTACTTTTGATTGCGTAATAATACACTTGTCTCTTTGTACATATGGGATGGTCATCTTGATAGTCACTGCTGATGGGTGAATGTGAATAAGGGAATGTTCTTTAAAGGTGCCGTGTTTGAAGTTTGGCATCGATGTCAGAGGGCGTCTTTCTTAAGGCAACAAATCTGGGTTATTCAAAGGTGTGTGCATGTCATAACTGGGCACAAAAAGCAGTTTTCTTGAAACTTAGATGACAAAGTTTTGTGGCTGCCGACACTCTTGCCGCATTTCCTTCAAGACATTTTATGTAGTAAGCAACAAATAAACGTAATTAATACTAACACATTGCTTGCACCCCTCCAGGTCGGACTGAATGACCTAACTCTGGTTAACCTTCATCTGACTCCTTTGCCCTCAGTGGGAGAAAATGCTGTGAAAAACCACGATAGTCATAAATTAGCAGCCTTTGCACAGACGCTGCAGGAAACACTGAAAGGTAAGGCCATGTTTTTCTTCAGCGTCAACCAGTTTGCTTAAAAACAATAAAAACTAGCAGATGGGACTCTTCATCTACTTAAGCTTCAATCTGCACACACTTACCTGTTAAGTGGGATTTATTTTTGAGTAGATAAGCACAGAATTGCACTGTTTATTTTCAAAAGCTGTGTCAGTTCTCAGCCCCAGTAGTTCCTTGGCGAGGGGTGCTTCTATGACGCAAGGCCCTTTAGAAGTTGCCCATTTGCAGGCTGGATCCAAACCGCCCCTGCAATCAGCCGTTTTACCTTTTGCAGGCTGGCTTTGTAGGGAATACCTAAAGGTAAAGGGACCCCTGACAGTTAAGTCCAGTCGCGAACGACTCTGGGGTTGCAGCACTCTTCTCGCTTTACTGGCTGAGGGAGCTGGCGTTTGTCCGCTTTCGCAGACAGTTTTTCTGGGTCAGGTGGGCAGCATGACTAAGCCACTTCTGGTGAAACCAGAGCAGTGTATGGAGATACCGTTTACCTTCCCGCTGGAGTGGTACCTATTTATCTACTTGCACTTTGATGTGCTTTCAAACTGCTAGGTTGGCAGGAGCAGGGACCGAACAATGGGAGCTCACCCTGTCGCGGGGATTCGAACCGCCAACCACCTGATCAGCAAGCCCTAGGCTCTGTGGTTTAATCCACAGCGCCACCCACGTCCCTGGGAATACCCAGGAGATGACATTTTGGCATCCTCAGAAGACCTACATCAAGTAGACTGGTATACATTTTAGTCAATTCATTGATTAAATGTGCATAAAATTTGAATATGGGAAGGAACAGTTGTTCAAAAAAAAAAAGTTGTATTCCTTTTTAGATGGCAAACCCATGTGTCTTAGGAGGCATCATTTTTAAAATAGCATCCCCCTGGTGTTAGGGAAAAGGTAGAATGGTATTTCAAAATGGTGCTTGTCAGTGACAGTTCTGATAAGCATTTGCATTTAAACTATTCCTTTTTTTAAAACCTTAAATCTGCTAAGTTAGATGCAGATAGCTTCTGGGAAGCCATCCTGATTTCACCTTAGTTAATGTATCCCTTGTGCCTCTGTTGGGGGACAGGAGTGACCAGCACTTTTGTTTACTGTTTAACAAAGGCCAAAAATGTTGGATGACTTAGCTCCATTTTCCAAGGTCAGCAGCTTAAAATATTCTGAATCAACACCCATCTCCAGTTTCAGAAGAGGTGTGTGAAGAGTACAGCTAACAAATACTCAACTTGTCATTTTTGTTTTGAGTTACGAGGCATCAAATGTGTTTTCCTGGATTTGATTACCCTGTTGTGAGATTTTTTTAACGGGGAGGGGAAGTATAGAAAGTTCTGCAGATCTGATTTGGACTCAGCAGTACTTTGAAAGACTGGAGCTGAAATCAAGTACGCTGCGTCACAATTTAATTAGTGCCTAACTCCATTGGTGTTGTTTTGTGTGTGTTTTTAACATTTATTTTAAAGTTAGAAAACAGCTTCCAGAGTTGTTTTTCTCTTCTCCATTAGGCAAGTATTGATTTCTTTCTGGTTCAAATGGAGTTGAAAATAGTAATGTCCTTTCTGTTAAATGGAAGCACTCTCAAGCAACATTCTGAGGTCTGTGAGGTTTTCAACGCTGTCCAAAGTGTATTTACTCAGAAGGAAGTTGCACTGACTTCTGTGGTGCTTAGTACGATGGTGAAAATGTAAAGTTGCATTTTCAAGTCGTCATCCCCCACCCAAGAGCCGTAGTCAAATTTATTTGTATTCCGCGGACCTTCAGTTTCCAAAAGCAAAATGTTTGATTCCATACAGTGAGGGCAATTTATAAAAAGTGCACTGTAGTAACACGCGTGGTACAATTTCTAACTCTTCACTATAACACAGACATACATGTTTCAGATCTGGAATGCGGTTAAATCTTGAAATTAAATAAAATTATTTAAATAGCTGAGGGGAGAACATTGAAACGAGTTAGCGTAAATGCTTTCCTGTTTTCACATTCCCAGGGCAGGGTGGTTGCTCCCACTTTCATGGCTGCTCCCCACTGTGGACGTAGCCAGGATTTTGGGGGGGCCAAAGTTGTTCAGCATTTTTTAGGCAATCAAAGTTGTTGAGCTCTTCTTGGGAAATCACAGGTAAAAGTAGACCACCTGCTGGGGGTGGTGATCCAGAACCTCAGATAATTTAGCACTTTCAATGCTTTTCAATAATATTTGTGGATCGGGGGGGCATCTACCCCCTGCACCCCCCTTGGGCCCTTGCCCCCCACCCCCTGCTATTCTGGCTAATGTCTAAATATTCCACCCATCTGATTGGGTCACATAATACATTTATGCACCACAAAGCCACCTCTCCTTCTGTCAGCCAGGTGTATCAGTTTGGCCACATTGGCTGTTACTAAGAGCCAGCCCAGCTGCATCGAGATCTGATCAAATATTATGGAGCTGATCCCAATCAGTGACCAGGGAAGAGGAACCACATCTTTTTTTCTAAACTGATTAGTCTCATACACCGTCGAAGAACTCTGTATTTCACCCACCTCCAAGTCCAATGAAGGCAAGCCTTACCCTGAGACCTTACCCTGAGACCCCATTGTAGGGGAGCATCAAGAACTTCAACGGTCTAATCCAGGCATAGGCAAACTTGGCCCTCCAGATGTTTTGGGACTACAATTCCCATCATCCCTGACCACTGGTCCTGTTAGCTAGGGATGATGGGAGTTGTAGTCCCAAAACATCTGGAGGGCCGAGTTTGCCTATGCATGGTCTAATCTGACAGCCCAGAGAGATGGGATCTCTTTTTTGGGGTCCCCAAGGATGACGTGGTACCTTGGAAAACAAATACTTTTATGTTGCTTGATTACTTCCACACACGTTACATGCCTCATGTTGGATGTGGAGTTGCTATTGTCAAATGGTGTGCATGGTTAAGAGTTAGGAAGAGCCGTACTTTTTTAGGGGGTGGTACTTAAGGGATGTCGGTGGCGCTGTGGGTTAAACCACAGAGCCTAGGACTTGCTGATCAGAAGGTCGGTGGTTTGAATCCCTGCGACGGGGTGAGCTCCCATTGCTCAGTCCCTGCTCCTGCCAACCTAGCAGTTTGAAAGCACATCAAAGTACAAGTAGATAAATAGGTACCGCTCTGGCGGGAAGGTAAACGGCGTTTCCGTGCGCTGCTCTGGTTCGCCAGAAGCGGCTTAGTCATGCTGGCCACATGACCCGGAAGCTGTACGCCGGCTCCTTCGGCCAATAAATCGAGATGAGCGCCACAACCCCAGAGTCGGCCACAACTGGACCTAATGGTCAGGGGTCCTTTTACCTATACTTATGGCTACAATGTACCAGCAGCTCCCCCCCCCCAAAAAAAATGTTTAAAGTGTGACACTTACTGTAACAAATTAATGCTGAGTCCCAGCACTTTTTTTCTTTAAAACAATAAAAAAAAGACTGAGGAGGAGCCAACCTAAGATGAAATGATGGGTGCCCTATAGCCTGTGAGGGTTCAATGGGCAATGGGTGCATGTCTTTTGAAAACCGCTATGAGCCTGCACTTTTCATTTAACTTCTTTGTGATATTTACAAGACTGTGTTGTGACAATAGGATATATACCAGACCATGTGATATTGACGAAACTCTTACCTACTGGTCCTTAGTCAAATACTGATTTCTTTTTTCTTAGTCCACGTCCCCCCACCCCCCGGCTTCACCCATCGATCTTACTCTGTCATAGGATAATTTTGGGTGAATATTTACGTTGGAAGATTAGACTAGAGAAGCCCAACCGTATTGGAAAGAACAGTTAAATCTCATGTGGCAATCGCATACCTGTCAGAAATAAAACGAGCGTCGTAATGCCTTTGTAGCAAGTATAGCATGAGCGCACTTGGAATACGGTGGACGGTTCCAGCCACTGTGTCTCAGTAATGATATTTAGAGCTGAAAAAGATTCAGGAAAGGATAACCCAAAGGAGTGCAGTGTAAGGCTATCTGTGGTTTGTAATTATGACTGTGTACGGCCTGCAGGAACAGAGGCGGGATGCAGGGAGGGGAGTTGTCCTACCGTTTCTGGACTTCTCATAGACATTTCGTTGGCCTCTGTGGGCAGAGGGATGCAAGCCTCGGTTTAGGTTTGGTTGCATTCAGCAGGGATTTTTGTACATTCTTCTTATTTCACAGCATGCACCCCATGCACCCAGAGAGGTGTGTTTTGCCACCTGTAGAAATCTGAATAGGGTTTGCATGCTTCCCGCCTGCACAGAAATGCAATCGGTGTAGGAAGTTTCTGCATTTGAAGCAGCTCTGCTAGGTTGCAATGGCAAGGCTGTGCTCTTGGAATACTAGATAGTGCTGTTGAGTAGGAGCACCCTCTGCTGGCTGAAGGCCTGCATAGCAGCAGAAACGTAGGAAGCTGCCTTGAACTAAGCTCAGTATGTCCTGGCTTCTCTGACTGGCAGCAGGTGGCTGCAGAAACAGGCTGGCAGCCGTCTTTCCCCTGCCCTATGGGGGGATGCTAGAGCTTGAACCAGGCGCCTTCTGTGTGCCAAGCAGCTGTTCTCAGCGCTGAGCTACAGCCCTTCATCCTAACTCCCCCTGTAGCCTTATGAATCAACAGGAGATATTCTAAAAATATATCCTGCTCAAAAAGCAATAAATTTCCTCCGAAACAGGCACCTAATAGTCTTTGCCACCTGGTATCATGCGAGCAAAAGTCAGCATTTGAATTGCGTGGGTGCATTTCACAATGTACAGTATTACGGATTCTTAGCATGTTAATTAGGGACGTTCATTGAATTTTGAGGCTCTGGTTTTTGTCAGCACGGCATCCTTATTGAGCTTGTCGTTTGGAGTTGTCTGGGAGCTGAGCATGAGGCAGAAGGCCAGCGCTGTCAACTCCGAGAACAAATAAAGAAACTCGGAGGGGGGAAAGAGGGTTGGCAACAGATTATACGGAAAGATCAAGTTTAAACAAAGCAGGCTCACTTAGAATTCAGCCGCAGTGTTGCAGTTGGAGGAACGGAGTTATACACAGAAATTTAGCAAAGATATATCCTGTCGAAATCTAAAGGCAAAATAAGTATAAAATGATATACCAAAGGTATTTAGTTATAGGAAGCTTACAAATATTTATGACAACGTTGTTTTAAGCATTGAAGAAGTAGCTACTAGAAAGTTGACTCTTAAACGTCTTCAATGGGTGGTGCTCCTTTGGAGGGAATTTTTAAAAATATGTATTCTCTATATGGTCACATGGGACACCATAAATTGAAACAGGAGGGTTGAGCCACAGGGGTTGCAATCCAATACCCACCTTCCAGGGAGGAAGCCCCATAAAGCTTAATGGGACTACTTTTGAGTAGATTGCACTGTTGGGATGACGTGTGTGTGTGTGTGTGTGTGTGTGTGTCTGTCTGTCTGTCTTAAAAATACAGGGGCTTGTTGGGCAATTGATCAACTGACATACCGTATTTCAGCAGATCTTTGTCAAGAGCTATGGGACACTTGGGAGGTCTGCAACCACTGTAGATGTGAACGCCCCACTGAAGCAGGGCCTTCAGTGTAGCTGCCCCTGTTCTGTGGAGCAGCATTGCTGTCAGGAAGTGACAGGTGCCCAATATCTGTACTTTCCTGAAAGGACATTTTTGCCCCCACAGGCTTTCCCAGGTGGACAAATAGGCCTCTGCCATGAGTGTCCGCAGTGTCTTCGTTTTTAAATCCACCTTCTGTTACTTTTTGCGCTGTCATTAACTGCTTCTTGGCTGTTTTTCATTATATTTGGTACATCGCCTTCAGACCTACGTGGAATATGATTAATACGTAACAACAGCAGGCTAAAAGCCGGAGGTCTTGCTGGGGGGAAAGGTAGATTTTGTGGAGAGATCTGGTGGATGAGTTGGTGACCTTACACCCACAGTCACAGAAGAAGTTTCATGCTCAGGGGAGCAACACGAAAAAAGGGGCAGAGTTGGAGAGACCTTTGAGCAGTTGAGGGTGGAAGAATAAGAGAAGGGGAGGGTATTTTGTGGGCCAGGCGTGGGAAATCTGTTGGACTCCAGCAGACCCAACCAGCATTGCCCAGTGGTCAGGGCTGGTGGAAGTTCAGCAGCACCCAGAAGGCCACAACCTCCCCACTCCTGTTGTAGGCCTAGGAACCCAGAGATCGAGCAACCCTTAACAGAGTCTGAGGAATAAAGGTCCTGGACCAAGGATACAGCCGCTTTCTTGACATGCTCCACAATCCTATCACTTAACTCTTTCTGTATTTATTTTTGCTCTCCGCACTCCTAGGAGAAAAAGACATGATCATTTTAGGTGACTTCAGTCAAGCCCCCGACAGTGGCGACCACGACCTCTTGAGGAAGGAGAAGTTCCATCCTTTGGTCCCTGCCAGCACATTTACAAACATCAGCACAAAGAACCCTCAGGGCTCCAAATCCGTGGATAACATCTGGATCAGCCGTAGCTTGAAAAAGGTTTTCACTGGTAAGGTTTCATTTTGGGAGGAAGTTTAAAATATCAAGCTTTTATTTTTTGAAAATACCTTACTGTTTATGACAAAACGTTGTCTGTGGCTTGTTAAGTGGCAAATTTCATGTCAACTTCTCCTAGCCTATTTTACACTTTACAAGCGACATACACAATGTTCATTATTAGTGTATGTTCACAGAGTTTGATCTGTGTTTGTTGGAGTAAACATATGAAGCAGAGATGGGTCTCTTTATAAAAATAATGCACACACAGCTGGGATCTGCAACTCATCCCAGCTCCTCTGGGTCTGTTTCTACATATTTCCCCATGTTTGCAGATCCACATCTCTCCTTCTTAATTTACACATTTACCTTTGTCAAGACTTCCTTCAGGGCCACAAAGATTAGAAATGTAGCTTTTAAGGGTGCCTAGAAATGTACTATTTCCTCTTGATTTTTAAAGAAATGCATTAGCTGCCTTTAGGAGATGCCTTTATAGGCAGAAGAAACAGTGATACACTCATTTTTTGGGGTTGGTTTTTTATTTTCTATCACTTTATGATCTTCTTCTGAATGCATGAGCAGTTTTCACGCGTCTCCTCGTGGTGCTCTGAGGAACTAGTTAGATGCAAAGCCATTAGATTCTCTAAAAGAAGGTCAACATTCATATTCAAGACCCTTTGCTTTGTGCCATTGGTGGTTTCCCCCAAGTATTCACACCCATCTTTCTCCCCTGTAAACTTTTCTTTACACAGGTCATTGGGCAGTTGTGAGAGAAGGTCTTACGAACCCCTGGATCCCTGATAACTGGTCGTGGGGTGGAGTTGCATCAAGTCACTGCCCTGTGCTAGCTGAATTTTACACCGAGAGGGACTGGAACAGAAAGGAGATCACACGGAACGGAAACGGCGTGATAGTGGAATGCAGCGACTCAAATGCTAAACATGAGCGATGATGAAAGAAAATGCAAACCATGCCCTTACCTAGAAGGGATGGTCAGAAGATCCCTTTGCTCAAGGCCTGACAGTGAACCAGAACTGCCTTTTTTCTCATTTAAAAAGAATCAGCTTCTGCTTTTAACATCTCCCTTTTCCATTCCCACCTCTGTGTCCCTTAATGGATGTTTTAGGGTATCCCATCTTTTGTGTTTTGTGACTTTTTAAGGGGACTTGGTGGACACGGATGTGCTTGGATACCTGACAACTCCAAATAAAATGCACTTTTTAATACTGTACAGTCATGATCTCCCTCTCTGATTTCTAATGAAATGTCACACAATAACAAAGAGAAGCCCATGAAAGGGCAGATTAATTTATTGTTATATATGTATAGCATATGTAGTATATTTCAGTGATAAACAGACTAGTGAATGCTGTCTGTTTGCTATCCTATCACTTACAGTAGGAATTGTGGCAGCATACTGAGCATGTGTTGGGAGTATTCACAAAATAGGAAACACACAAGTCTGCAGCTTGCCTTAAGAAATTGCTCTAAAAACTTGTTCCACCTACATGCGAAACTGAAACCTGAATAACTATTATCTATCCAGTCAAGCCCTCCAGAGCAGGCATCCCCAAACTCGGCCCTTCAGATGTTTTGGGACTACAATGCCCATCATCCCTGACCACTGGTCCTGTTAGCTAAGGATGATGGGAGTTGTAGTCCCAAAACATCTGGCGGGCCGAGTTTGGGGATGCCTGCCCCAGAGCGTGTATGGCATTGTAAGGAAAAGGATAAACTTTCACCAGTGAACTTACGCTTTCATGAGAGCTACTTCATATATTCCAGTTCTCATCTGCAAGCTGTATTTTATATAGCTGAAACTATAACATTTGACAATACCTGCATGTTTCAAAAGTCTTGATCTCTGCATAAATATACTAGTCCAGAATTATTCCTGTAGCCTTCTTTGGTGATCACTCGTAGCCGAGTAAGATTGTCTTCCATAAACACAGTTTATAAACACAAGATTAAAATGGTCTGAATGGAAAGGGCCCATTTGGAGGAAGCTTCACTTATTTGAACTCCAGAGTTTTCCTAAGTTTCACATTGGAAACTTTGGTTTTTTGTTCTTCTACAGCATGTTTTACTCATGGGAAAAAACTTGTTTGAAAATAAGCATTTGCCCTATGGTTTTTACTGTGTGTTACTGAAATGTACTTCTGGCTTCATATTTCACTTCACGGACTATCACTGTTCTTCTAGAAACATAGCTGATAAATTTTAAAAGCAAAATAACTAAATATATTTTGGATACGCATGCACTTCAGATGTCCATCAGTGGCAAGTATGCAAAAATGGTCTGTAAGGAGTAGCTGTTAAAACTGTAATTTGAAAAAGTTTAAACCCTGAGCCTGCTGAGCAGAATACAGCCTTGTGTTTAGATCTGCAGACTAATAACTCCCTGTTAAACCCATACACCAAAATAAGATTTTTCTATTTTGGTAAAACGGAAGCTTTTCTAGCAAAGTAACTTGGAGACATATGAGAGACTTTCCTTCCTAAATTACTAAGGTAAATGAAAAGGACCCCCTGGATAGTTAAGTCCAGTCAGAGGCGACTATGGGGTGCGATACTCATTTCACTTTTCAGGCCGAGGGAGCCAGCGTTTGTCCACAGACAGCTTTCCGGGTCACGTAGCCAGCAGGACTAAACCGCTTCTGGTACAACGGAACACCGTGACGGAAACCAGAGCGCATGGAAACGCCATTTACCTTCCTGCCACAGCGGTACCTATTTATCTACTTGCACTGCCGTGCTTTCAAACTGCTAGGTTGGCAGAAGTGGGACAGAGCAATGGGAGCTCACCCCGTCGTGGGGATTCGAACCGCCGACCTTCCGATCAGCAAGCCCAAGAGGCTCTGTGTTTTAGACCGCAGCTCATGACCGCAGCTTCTGGCATCTTTTCACTGATGACTTCTGCATGTAACTCCTGTGATAGTTTGTCGACACCAGTATATGAAGACACATAAAGACAACTCTTTTAAGGTAGATCAAGCATATGCTAACTCGGCCCTCCAGATGTTTTGGGACTATAACTCCCATCATCCCTAGCTAACAGGACCAGTGGTCAGGGATGATGGGAATTGTAGTCTCAAAAAACATCTGGAGGGCCGAGTTTGCCTATGCCTGAGGTACATCAATGGCTGAAATACTGGCTTGATGCTGATGGTGCCCTGCTGTAGTTTTTCGTTTTTCTTAGGCAGTTGCCCTAAAGAAAAATTCCAAAGAAAAAAAGTGCCTTACCTCATGGGGGTAGGTTGCGAACTCCTGGCTTGGAAGGTGAAATTTCCATGTCTAACAGTTGTAAGGTGTGGTAAATAATGTATTGGTACCACTGATGTATGGTTTAGGTTTAAGTCTTTCATGTTTATCTTTCTTCAGGAAGTATCTTATCTATCAGATAAATCCACAAAGCACACAGCTACACGCCAGCCCTAGGACTGTGACTCAAAAGGACTAAACTGATTTAAATCCATATACTTTGTGTTAACTATTTGAGAGTCATGAGCACTGTCCACTTTTTAGTAACGGATCTAATAGAAAGAATCTTTTTGGCATTCAGCTAACTTATTTATTTCAGTGTTGTAATGGTTCTAGGGGTTGCTCGTGCGTAAGCAGGTGCCTATCTCCCCGGCTGGGTGCAAACACCTGGCTGAGTTGCCAATGTGAACCTTTTCTGTCCGGACAGCCACTCACCCATGGCTGACTCAATCGCTGGCAGAATCCGTCAGTGGGCGTTTCTTAAACTTCTTCCAGCAAAGAAGCTCTTTGACGCCTAGTCTCCTCCTACTCTCTCTCCGCGAAAGCCTTCTGCGCAAGGAGGGCGTGGGCAACGGAGGACCCCTACTCTCCCCGCTGGTCCCAGGCAAGGAGTCATGGGACCGCCTCGCCGCTTCCCCCATCTGCCCCCCTTCTCCACTGGTGCTACGCTGATTCTCTTCCCCAGAAGATGGGCTGCTTCTCCCGATCCCTGGACGCTCTCTGGAATCCCTCTGGCTTTTGCTCTCTCCCTCCGTCACTGATGGCAGTTCCCTGACATCTGTATCCAGCTATCACGGCTTGATCGATGGATACAATTCAACTGGATTATGTCGTGATTCTGTGTGATTCTCCAGATAAATAAATAAAGTGCTTCTGCCAAGGTTTGATTTGCTCATAAGCATTAAAAGTTGAATGGCCGAAAAGTTGAGCCCTAAACTGTTCACTTCGGCACTAACAATCTGTTAGGCATTAACCACGTGTTAATCCAGTAACAAGCTTATCTGAGAGTTTCGGTGCCTCCCAAAACTGAAAGGCAGAGGTGTCTTGGGGTAGGAAGATTATGTCTACTATAGGATGCTTAGATGTGTTCATCTCTTGATTAAAAAGTAAAACTAGATGGTTCAGAGCAAGGGTCAGCAAACCTTTTCAGCAGGGGGCCGGTCCACTGTCCCTCAGAACTTGTGGGGGGCTGGACTATTTTTTGTGGGGGGGGGGATGAATAAATTCCTATGCCCCACAAATAACCCAGAGATGCATTTTAAATAAAAGGACACATTCTACTCAAGTAAAAACACGCTGATTCCCGGACCATCCATGGGCCGGATTTAGAAGGTGATTGGGCCGGATCCGGCCCCCGGGCCTTAGTTTGCCTACCCATGGTTCAGAGGCATAAAAGAGAGCGTTGTAAAACGCTTATTTTGGCCACCAGCATAGGTTGGCATAAAATACCATATTTTTCCATGTATTGGACAAGGTTTTTTGACTCAAAAATCGCGTCCAAAAACTGGGGTTGTCCAATAGATAGTGGCATGGGGGGTGGGGAGAAGCAAGGCGCTACCAGCCAGCTTGTTGGCGGGAGCGAAACTCCCTCAATGCCACTGCGTGGGGTGGGCACTCCCTAGGTCGTTTCCCCCGTGCGGCAGCATCGGGGGAGTTTGCGCTCCCACGGGAGAGCAAATTTCCCAGATGCCGCTGCGCGTGGGAAACGCTCTAGGGAGTGTTTCCTGCCCGCAGCTGCGTGGGGGCAGAGGCTCAACAACTTGGGGCCGTCTCCCCTCATTTTCCTAAAATTGAATCCGCAAAAATAGGGGGTTTCTTATACATGGGGGCGTCCTATAGACGGGAAAATGCGGTAATATTTGATTATCCAGGCTGTAATCGAAAGGACAACTGGACAGAAAAGCAAAGACAGAGGATCTGCCATTTCTAGTGCCCTGCTGGTGGCAGAGCAGCAATCTTGCACTCCTCCATCTCCCCCCCCCCCGAGTCCAACACCATTGAGAACAGTGGGAGGAAAATACATATGGCAGCTCCTAGTCTGTGTTAGAATTCCTGCTCCATGATTGCAGTCATGGGATTTTTGTCTATCACATGACGGTGTATATTTTGACTCCACAAAGTGGGAAGTGACGGAGACAGGATGTTTGTGTTACTGTGTTCCGTGAAGTGGGACTATTGTCCTTTGTTTTCTCTCTTTGCTGTCTGATGCTAGAGAGAGAGGGAGCCATGTTGCAGTGCTCCGTGTGTGTTTATATGTAAATAAAGTCGATTAGCCAAAATGCTGAGTTGCTGGGGTCCGGCACGCAAGCTGCGAAGACTCTGCGGATCCCTAGGTGTGCCGATGTCTGTTGGCATCGTTCGCTGTGATGTTCGGGCTGAGGAAAGCTTTTGAAGCTCCTGAACGATCAACCAGGAGGGAGAGAACATGCCAGTCGGGCATGTGTCTCTGCCAGGATCCTACTCGAGTGTAGGACAAGCTCCTGACAGTCTGGTGTGGTTATCCCTCTGGTTTGGGGGCATGTCAGGGGACCTGGAAGGCTATATATCCTTCAGATCCACACCTTCCCCGATCTTGCCCCCTCATACTGCCACACCTCCCTTGGCAAGGCTCCCGCCAGCCTCTAGAGGTGCCCTGAGTTCGAAAAACTGCAGATATTTTCACAGTAGCATGGAGGAGCACTGTGCTGTCAGACCTCTGTGTCTGCCCCCAGAGGGGAAGATTTAAAACATCCTACAGCCCCTAGGACCAGCCACCCAGGAATCATAGGCTTGTGGGACTAGTTCCTGTCATTTCATTTGTATTCAACTGTCTTTCTAATCCATCCCATTTTTCATTTTTGAGCAGCTACGACTTTCTGTCGTAGGTGGTTTGGTCCTGTGAAAAGTCGAATATGCTTTCCGATACACACCGGATGAGGATATTCATCGAAAAGGATTCATGTCTTGAAATGAGGCAAAAGCATGACAGATTAGCAGGCCAAAGGC